CTCCGACACCTCTTTTATCGCATGTTCCGAGGAACAATTCTTCTCCGTTGTGTATTCGATATGCCAAAATCAGTAACTACAACTGGTCTCATTCACCTGATCCTGAAGGCTTCACCGACATGGCAGAACTGAGAAGGATGAGAAAGGAGAGGCCGAGAAAATCTCAAGGCCGAACTAGGCTGCCACAACGAAGGAAGACAAAAATGATCGTCTGTACTTTCAATGCACGTATGCTAGCGTCAGATGCATCCGTCGAGGACCTGATGGTACAAGCGCGAATGATCAAGTACGACATCATTGGTCTGACCGAGACAAGAAGGCACGAATCTCACCATGTTTTTTTCGACACTGGAGAAACTGGCTATTACTGAAACAAATTATAGGCTATAAAGCAGGTGAGAAGTAGGGAAGAAGAGGGAGGGCAGAGGAAAGATTTCAACTTTTGACTGTCCATAAATCCTCAGTGATTCTTTTTTCTTTTTGCAATAAGCATGTGGATTTCTTCTTATTAAACTACAAAGCATCTTAGCATCAGCCATGTTTCTACTTGTATGGTAACCAGCTCCTGTTTAAAGGTTTATTCTGGGGTCAGAGAGATAGCTCAGTGGGCTGACATGCTTTGCATGCAGGAGGCCCAGTTTCAATCCCCAGCACCACACCTTTTCCCTTCATATCCTGTATAATCTCCAGAAGTGACCCATGAGCACTGAGCTGGGAGTACCATGAACACTGTCATGTGTGATCTCAAAACTAAAAAACAAGTTAAAAAAAGTTTTATTCAAGCAATTCATATTTGAGAGGACAGGCTAGAAGAGAAATCACTTTTGCCTCTAAAATGAATCTTGATCATTCAATTCCCCTAGGGAAAAATATATTAGCGCTTTCCCTTCTACAAGGAGGGGGTGTAATCCTTTTCAATCTATAAAATCTAATCTAAAGAAGCTGATGCCAGGAAATGACCACTGAGTCCTGAGATTACAGTGTGAGATACCACGTGGGGGTTATGAATGAACTTTGTTCCACAGCGCTACTATCAGCCAAAGCTTCTCATTGAGCAAATTCAACTGATACATGTTTATACTTAAGCCTATTTTGTGGGGGTAAATATATTTATATATATTTTGTCTGGGGGCCACACCCAGCAATGCTCAGGGCTTATAATGAGCATTGTGTATGGGATTTGGGGATCCTATGTTGTGTCAGGGATCAAATCTGGGTCAATGGGAGGTAAGGTTAGCCACCAACCTGCTGTACTATTACTCAGGCCTGAGATATGTATATTCTTATGAACATATATATATTTTATAGACATGCAGTAACTATTTTTACTAAAATAATCTGAAGCAGTTGTTACAGCATAACAGTTTTGGGGATTCTTTTTAGTTTTGGGGCCACTTCTGAGAAGGTTACTCCCAACTCCCATATTCTGAGTCGCCATGCCCAGGGGACCAAACCTGGGGTCCTTGCACCCAAAGCCTGTGCCCTAGCCCAACCTGGCAACAGGAATTTTCTTTTTCTTTTGGATGATACCCACGGTTCTTGGGGATTGTTCCTAGCATTACTGCTGTGGACCATGTGGTGCTAGAGATCAAACCAGGGCCTCCTGCTTGCATCTTGAGTCATCTCCCCAGCCCTCATAGTTGGGTTTGTTTTTCTGGGGGAGGGTGGTGGGAGGGGATGTAAAATAGTTTTATTTAGAAAAATGTAAGGAAAGTCAAGGAAAGAGGATGGGTTAAAGGAGAGGGGGGTATACATTTCAGGTTGTGATGCAGGCAGCAGAGAATAAGAGAAATATTAAGATAGTAAAATTATTTTCCCCTCCGTTGCTCACATAATTCACCAAATACTTTCTACTATCATAAACATGGATAAATTAAAATGATATAATCTTCATTTTAACTATTCTTGTTAAAGCCTGACCCCCTTTCCCTGTTCCCATGCCTTCTTTACTTTTATTTTATGAGAGGGATGGGGAAGGGGAGGAAAGAAGATCTTAGAAGGGTTCTCTGTAGAAAAAGTTCTTCACTCTGATTCTACTAGCTTAAAATCATGCATGGTGTGTGTGTGTGTGTGTGTGTGTGTGTGTGTGTGTGTGTGTGTGCGAGCGAAGGGTATGATTCTTTTTCATCTATATGCTTTTCTAAAACCCAAAATCTCAAACTGCCTGAAAAAGTTATCAATTAAAATCACTGTATCACTGTATCACTGTCCTCCCGTTGTTCATTGATTTGCTCGAGCGGGCCAAGTAACATTGTGAGACTGTGTTTGGCATACTGAATATGTCACGGGGAGCTTGCCAGGCTTTGCTGTGCAGGCGAGATACTTTCGGTAGCTTGCCAGGCTCTCCGAGAGGGGCGGAGGAATCGAACTCGGGCCGGCCATGTTGGCTGCGTGCAAGGCAAACGCCCTACCCGCTGTGCTATCGCTCCAGCAGATCAAGTGTAGTATCAATTAAAATATTCTTTTAAAATTTCCAGTTTTTTGTAAAAAATACTACTATCTAAAGTAATATTAATCACTAAAGCAATTTACCTCAACTATATGTTGTTTACTGATATTTATTTAATTTATAAATAGTAGAAAAACACAGATAACATCACCTGTAAAACTCTGAGCACTCTATCCTGGCAAGCCAGCACTGGTGTAATACGAAGTAATCTTTCCACTGGAAGGCAGATGACATCGTTGATTTTGTCCCCAGAAAGATAGTAATGCTGGTCTTTGCAGTCACAATAATGGTTATAGATGTAACTTGCACTGAGAAAGAGATCTGAGCCACATATGTGCCTGAGAACATCAAAATAATAATTTAAAAATCCGTATTTTTAAAAATAATAGGAAATGAGGTTTTTTTTTTTTTGCAGAAATGAAGATGGTTTCTTTATAAAGTTACTATCATTTTATCAGACATACATAGGGTTTTCTGGGTTGGTCTATCTTTAACAATTATTTTCTAAAGAGCATCATTTTATATCCTGATTTTCTCTTTTAAAAGATCTGCCTTGCTTTGTCAGCTCTAGGTATGATTTCAGCAGTCTTCTTAATATCATTGTATTTAACCTCATGAAATTCCTTTTGAAGCCTATTTAATTTTATTTTCCTAAGTGCTACCTGAAAACCACTATTGTTGCTAAGAATGGGGATAAATGAAAACATAAATAGGAATAGAAAGTTAGTAGTAACCAACTTCTAAGTTACCAGTTCCCTTAAGCAATGTTTTCAAGTTATATACCGCCTTCCTATGCACACTTACTAATGTGGAGATTCAGAAAACATATACTAAAAACTTATTAAAATATCTGGAGACTTGACTCAGTGGTAGAGTGAATGTCCTGTTTGAGGTTATGGGTTCAGTGCCTAAAATCACACACACACACACACACACACACACACACACACACACACACACATTCAAGACTGGTTAAAGAGCCTTTCCATAACACTTGTTATTTCAATAAAAATATTTTAGAAACTAGCCAAAGGCACTATTGACTCAGGGTCAGGGGGTGGCTTAAAGGACTGAAGCAACTGAATTGCATGCAAGTTCCATTGCGGTACTGCCTGGTCTTCCAGCACCATTGGGTGAGCTGACCACTAAAAGAGACAATTGGTTGGGAAACTCTTATCTTCTTCACACTAATGTCCTTAAACCTTTCAGAAAGTGAAACTGATTACTTTTATTTTAAAAAATTCTTTAAAATAATTTACAATTATCAATGACCAAGTCTACCTACAAAAGAATTTCAAAATTTTATATTATTGTTACTATAGTTTGGGGGCAACACTGAGTGGTGCTCAAAAGCTACTCCCAGTTCAGTATTTGGGATCATGCAGTGCTGGGATAGAAGTCAAGGTCTCACACATGCAAGGCACGTGCTCTACCACCGAGTCAATTCCTGGCACCTAAAAGATCATACTCTGGTCTCACCACTAAAATGACTTCTACCTGCTGCAGTTTATTTCATACATAATCTCATCAAGCCAAAGTTTCCACCACACAGACATCAACTATGTTGTGCATTGCAGAGAACTACACAGGACTCTTTTACATGCCACAAAATTCTGGAATGATTAGTTCACATTAAGGTCTATTTATTTGTAAAACTTGGCTACATGAAGTTCAAATGAGTAAGTTTTTATTTTAATTCACTTTTATTATTCTGATTCTGTAGATCTGAAATAGGACAAGGAATTTACTGTTCTATTGAGTTAAGTTTACAAGGGACTCATTAAGAGGTCTGAGAAACAATTATGGGATGGAAGGATGAGAAGAACGTTAAAGCCCTTCCCAGGCCCTGAAATTTAAAACCTTAAAATTTAATTACAAACTATTACAGATTAGAAGCTATTAAAGAGAGCTAGTTTTCAATTATAGTTTACCTAATTCATCTGATATTATGTCACCAATCTTTAGAGACTTTTAACAAGATGTACTACCTCAAAGCCAGAACTACCATAGACTGCAAAGATACAGAAACCTACATTTTGGACTCTTCTCAATCCCACATATCCCTTCTTTGTTACACAAAAATCATGGAATCATAATTGAACAAACTAGTTAAAAAAAGTAACTATAGGCTAGTAACATGGTCTGATGGTAATGCTTATGCCTTGCATATATAAGGGCCTGAGTTTATTCCTAAACTACCAGGGGAAAAATTATTCACCAAAAAGATTTTAGAGCAATTACAAGTGGTTTTATAGCTTTTCCTCAAAAAGAAAACATTTCAACTATTTTATATTGATTCCAGGTAAAATTTAATTTCTAACAAGTGAATTTAATTTCCCAGAAAACTTAAGATATGGTCCAACATCAGCTGAAAATATTATACATGGGTATGTAAAAATAAGAAAATAACAAACATACATAGCTTTAATGCTTTCAGTGAGGTTTGTTTCAAAAGAGAGAAACTGCTTTCCTCTCTTTGTGAAGCCTCTAATCTCAGAACCTGCAGCAATAAAAATTTTCTCCTGAGGAGTATTAAGAACTCCTCCCAGTTCCAGTCTTGCTATCTTCTGCCCTGGTAAAGTCTTGAACACTGCCTGCAAAAACCATTAAGGAAAAAAAAAAGAAGTACATAAATTTATTGTGAGCATTTTGTTTTACCATTTAAAAATGCTATGAATTTTTAGAGTTCACCTCTCAGATTCACCACTTATAAGTCAGAACTACCTTAACTAACTACTACTATAAGTGTGATCTGTAAATATGATGTAATAACCACCCTCTTGCTTATGTTACATTAAACAGCAAAGACATAAATGTGATAGCACTTCCAAGTTATTCTGTTATAAAACAGACCTTCTAAAACTTTTTTTTATTTGTAATTCCTTTTCACCTGAACAATGCTATACAGGTGAGTGCTGCCAGAAACATCTGAAATTCATTATGCAGTTGACTTTTAACTTTTGAACCACTGATGTTCAGAAGAAATCCTTTACTGCGACCAAATTTTTCATGTTTCTTACTTACATGTTCACTTACATGTTCCCATATGGGGCCATGACTCACCGTTTAAGAAGCCAGGCTTAGAACCCTGGGCTCCTGAGACAAAGACACTGTGAAATAACAAATGTGTGTATTTTTGCACTTTTAAGCTTGAGGAAAAGTATTGTATTACATAAAAAATTGGCTAATATATCATCCTGGACTTTCAAAAGTGTTTTACAACTAACAAACAACTTGTGTGTTTCCTGAAACCTTATCATTCATGACTACTTCCCTCACATCTACAACTTCAATTTGTAGTTTAAAAACATTTTAAACTGAGATTCAGTAAGTGGTATTTTTTCTTTCAGAAAACTCTTTCCCCTTCTTTTAAAAAAAAAAGCTATACATACTACTGCTTCTCCTTTCTTCATGCCAAAGCACATAATAACCCCATCATGATCTCCAATAACCACCTGCAACAGATTGATAAGAATCTAGGATGACTATTTATGTTCTAGTAATTGGATATGGGAAAAACAAGATTCTCAAAATATAAATTAGGATTTTCAAAGTAGAGATCAGAACACCTAAGACAGAAAATAATAGAAATTAATAATTATGGGGCTATAGAGATAGTAGTGGAAAAGGTGCTTGTCTTGTATGTGGCTGATCTCAGCATTACACATGGTCCTTAGAGCACTGTCAGAAGTGATCCTTGAGCACAGAACCAAGAGTAAGCCTTGAGTACAATTAGGCATGGCCTAAAAAAAAAAAAAAACAAAGGAAAATGATACAGATCAAAAACACAATTACCTCTGATCTAATATCAATGGGTCATGAATTTTGGTTGTGTGTGTGTGTGTGTGTGTGTGCAAGAATCTTATATGTAGAGTGCATACTTTGCATGTATGAGATCCTGAGGTTGGGCCCTAATGTCAAAACAAAATAATATTATTTTTAATCATGAATGTTCTTTTTTCACTATACTGATATGTGCAGTGATGGTATAGATGTGGTGGTGGATAAAACTGCTGGTCTTGGCAGCAGAAATCAAAACAATGATGCTTTATATAAATGGTCACTGTAATTGTCAACTCCAGTTGAGAGTAAAGGGGAAAAAATCTACTTTCATAAAAGAATGTCATTCATAAAGTAACAAAATAGGAGATGAATACCCAAGAATAGCAGAGATCAGTACCAAGAGGATTACTCCGTGGCTTAGAGGCCAGCCGGGCATTCTAGGGGGAAGGGCAGCCCAGATAGAGAAGGGAGCACCAAATAAAGGGTGTTTGGAGGATCCTTCCAGGATGGGAGATGCATGTTGAAACTAGACTATGGACCAAACATGACTGTCACTCAATGCCTCTTTTGCACACCACAACACCCAAAAGGAGAGAGAAAACAAAAGGGAATGCCTTGCCACAGAGGCAGGAGGGATGGGGGGGGCAAGGGGGTGGGAGGGATACTGGGATCCATGGTGGTGGAAAATGGGCACTGGTAGAGGAATGGGTATTTGATCACTGTATAATCAAAACCCAAGCACAAAAATTTGTAAGTCTACAACTGTACCTCATGGTGTTTCACTAATAAAAATATTTAAAAAAGAATGTCATTATGAGGCAATAATAATTATTAAATTTTGACCCTTAAGTACACATGTATGATGCTCTATACCTGAAACATATATATATACACACATATTTATTATAAACCAATGTTACTTCAATAAAAGTAAAGTAAAGTAAAGTAAAGGCCCTCCCGTTGATCGTCGATTTGCTCGAGCGGGCCCAGTAACGTCTCCATTGGAGACTTTTGTTGTTACTGTGTCTGGCATATCGAATACTCTCGGTAGCTTGCCAGGCTCTCCAAGAGGGGCGGAGGAATCGAACTCGGGTCGGCCATGTTGGCCACTTGTAAGGCGAACGCCCTACCCGCTGTGCTATCGCTCCAGGGCCACCCCAGGGAGGAAAGGGTGTTGTCACTCCGCCTAATTAGTACCATTGTGTTGCATTTTTCAGAATCAAAATTCTACCATTAACAAAGTAACCTGGATTCCCTTGTCTTCCATAGTCAGTTTGTCATTTTAAGTTAAAGTAGGAGAAAATCCAGCTCACAGATACATAGGAAGGGGTATTTACGTATCTTTTCTAAACAATCATGGCTCTTCATATTTGATGCAACATATATACTTCAATAAAAAAATTTTTAAAAAATCTATGTCTTTTCAAGTATATATTTTTATAAAAGTAATCAATAGTTAAAACTTTTAAAATCAAAATACAAAATATTTCTAATATTTAAGAGTTACTAGAGATATTTTGATATCAAAATATTTCTAATATGAAGTTGTATGGGCTAGAACAATAGTACAATGGGTCTGGAACTTTTCCTTCCATTCTGCCGACCAACTGGGTTCGATCCCTCACATCCCATACAGTCCCTCAAGCACTGCCAGGAGTAATTGCTGAGTGCAGATCCAGGGGTAACCCTGAGCAGTGCCAGGAGTGGCCCCAAAACAACAACAACAACAACAACAACAACAAAAAGTAGTTTTTTTAAAAAAGTATTTTTCTTTACAATACTGCCTCTTTCTCTTTTTTTCTAATACACAATCTGGTATACAAAAGTAAATAGCAGAAAAACCCACAAGTATGTTTTTTTTTAAACAAATCTGTTTTACTAATTATAAATAAGTACAGTCACATTTCCAATATTTCAGTCAACACCACACCCTATGTACATGGCCCAAACAGGGTACACAATAAAGTCCAAGTATGGCATACAACCACTTGCACAAGGACTAGAGTCATCTATACACATTTCCCATCCATATGCGAAAAAGTCACTGCCACTAACTGGTTTTCAACTGCCAGCACAAAAAGATGGAATACCAGCCTCTAGAGCTGTTTAATTATATACTCTATGATGTTGGCAGGATGATGAAATCACCTACAGGAGCATTTCCTCGTCTCTGATTACTGCAGCAAATGTCCAGAATGTATTTCCATTTTAACATGGGTGGGCCATGCCTAGGGTTGTGCTGGGACTGACCCTATGCGGTGCCGGGGATAAAACCAGGATCTACATTTTAAAACTGTCTTGACCCCGGCAGGATCTCTCTAACCCCAAATTAACGTTATACAAGAACAGTTTACTAACAATGGAATATAACCTGTCCTCTGTCCAAGGTAAGATGTGGAAATATCAGTATTTCTAGAGTACCTTTTGCGTACCGCTATTTCTAGAAGCAGGAAGCAGCTTCATAGTCTTCGGAGATGTCACTCCCACCTAAGAAAACACACCAGCCAAAAGAAACACAGAAGAGTTTTGCTAAGAGACGAGCAAGAGGGTGGCTTGATATACGACATAACTAACCCACGAGAAGAGGTAAGAGAAGGAAAGTTGTGGGCTCGTTCACAGGGCAGTGCCCCTAGCGATGCTGTTGGAAGAGGAAGGGGCCGACAGAGGGGTGGGAGAGAATGCCCTGCTACAGTTGGTTCTGTACTTCGGCACACTCACTTCTGATCCGTCTAGAGCTGTTTGTTTGAAACATCAACAAGTGAAGAATGGCCCAAAAGGGAAAAGTGCTGGAAGTTGGGAGTGGGGGTTGCCAGAGTGGGTGAACACTGAAGGGTGCAGGGCTGAATCAGGCCCCAGGCATGGTGCTGGGCTGAGGGGAGACAGACTCAGGGACAGTGCTGGACTGAGGGAGGGCACATAAAGGAATGGTGCAGGGCTGAGGGGAGGCAGATCCAGGCCTGACACCAGGCTGAGGTGGGACAGATGCAGCAATAACAGCCGGCGTAGGGGGGACAGACCCAGGAATGGTGTGGAGCTGAGCTGAGGGAGGGCAGATACAGGAATGGTGCGGAAGTGAGGGGGGACAGATTCAGGGATGAGACCGGACTGAGAGGGGACAGATCCCAGCATGACACAGGGCTGAGGGGGAACAGACTCTGACATGACACAGGACTGCTGTGGGACAGATCCCGGCATGACAAGCGGCGGAGCGGGCACAGATCTCAGCATGACAAGAGGCTGAGGGGGCACGGATCCCCGCGTGGCGCGGGGCTGAGGGGGCACGGACCCACGCACGACACGGGGCTGAGGGGGCATGGATCCCGCTGAGGGGGCACAGATCTCAGCATGACAAGGGGCTGAGAGGGCACGGATCCCCGCGTGGCGCGGGGCTGAGGGCGCACGGACCCACACACGACACGGGGCTGAGGGGGCATGGATCCCGCTGAGGGGGCACAGATCTCAGCATGACAAGGGGCTGAGAGGGCACGGATCCCCGCGTGGCGCGGGGCTGAGGGCGCACGGACCCACGCACGACACGGGGCTGAGGGGGCATGGATCCCGCTGAGGGGGCACAGATCTCAGCATGACAAGGGGCTGAGAGGGCACGGATCCCCGCGTGGCGCGGGGCTGAGGGCGCACGGACCCACACACGACACGGGGCCGAGGGGGCATGGATCCCGCTGAGGGGGCACAGATCTCAGCATGACAAGGGGCTGAGGGGGCACGGATCCCCGCGTGGCGCGGGGCTGAGGACGCACGGACCCACGCACGACACGGGGCCGAGGGGGCATGGATCCCGCTGAGGGGGCACAGATCTCAGCATGACAAGGGGCTGAGGGGGCACGGATCCCCGCGTGGCGCGGGGCTGAGGGGACACGGACCCACGCACGACACGGGGCTGAGGGGGCATGGATCCCGCTGAGGGGGCACAGATCTCAGCATGACAAGGGGCTGAGGGGGCACGGATCCCCGCGTGGCGCGAGGCTGAGGGGCGCATCCAGGGCTCGGCGGCGCGGGAAACCATCGGCTGCAGGCGCCCCGCCTGAAGCCCAGGACAGTGACCGTTAGCGGCGTTGGAACAGCAGGACGCTGGGTCGGCAGACGCGAGGGACACGGGGCAGCGGGGGGGGGGGGGGGGGGGGGGTGACAGGAGCCCTCGCCCGCCCCGGCGCGCCCGCCCGAGCTCCGGCCATCCCGGCCGGGAGACCCCGCGCACAGGTCCCGGCGGCCCGCGAGCTCAGACTCCCGCAGAGGCCCGGCGGGGCGGGGCGGCCACGGGCCCGGGGGCTGAGAGGCGGCGAGACCCGCCGCGGGCCTCTCCGGGCGCGCCGCGCTCGCCGGGCCGGGCTACCTGCACGTAGTCGGCTCGGCTGAGGCTCAGCTCCATGACGGCGAGCGCCGGCTAAGCCTCCGCGTCCCACCGCGCAGCGCGACCAGCCCAGAAAACCGGCCGCGGCGTCCGCGAGACGTCCACGCGTTCTCGCGAGCGGAGCGCGCGACGCACCGCCCCGCGAGAGCCCGCCCACCGGGCAGCGCGCTCCAATCGGAGGTGGCCGGAGACACGCCCACCAGGCTTCCTAGGAGACCGAGACGCGCCCGCGAGGGCGGTGGTGAAGTGGGGAGGGCGCTGGGCTGCTTCTCGGTGTGCGCATTAATTCACAGAAGCGGGCCTGGGACTGTTAATCTTAGGGAAGCACTGTAGCACTGTCCCCCTTCTTTCATTGATTTGCTCAAGCGCGCCCAGTAACTCTCTATCGGGAGACTTGTTGTTACTGTGTTTGGCATATCCAATACCTCACGGGTAGCTTGCCAGGTTTTGCCAGGCGGGGGAAATACTCTCAGTAGCTTGCTGGGCTCTGGGAGAGGGGCGGAGGAATTGAACCTGGCTTGGCCAAGCCTGCGTTTACAAGGCAACCGCCCTACCGCTGTGGTATCGCTCCAGCCCCGGTCTAAGGGAAAACTTAAAAAAAAAAAAAATCGGGGGTCAGGGGTGCGAGCAGCCGGAGCAATGGTACAGCAGCACTTGCACATATGGTCCCGGAAACCTGAGCGCAGAACCAGGACTAAGGCCTGGGCATGGCCGGCTGTGGCCCCAAAGCAAAAACCAAAAAAAGGTTTTGTGGACGTGAGAGCTCAATGGGATTAATGCAAGGTTTGGTTTCCCAGGCAGACGCCAGGTGCGGCCCTCAAAAGAAAAGAAAACAAAAAAAAATTATCCAGTACTCTAACAATCTTTTGTTTATGCGCCATAGATTAATGTTTACTAATTGATATAAAAATTTCTGTTGATCTTGAAATTATAACTGAAAGTTTAAATATGTTTCAAAAAAAGACCATGACATAACTATTTTCAGAAATAAAGGCAAGAAGCTCTTCTCAGCTATCTAAACTAGTCCTAGTCACAACTTTCAGGAGCTGCTCTATTTGCTTTGATGTGAAAACCACATGAAACTTGCCATTCTGGTCTACCACTTGGTTCCTTACCTTATGTACCCCTATGCACACAGAATTAAAACATTCTTTTCTCTTGTTAATCTCTCGTGTCAATTTATGGTTGGAACAGCCAAAGAAACCAAAGAACATGAGTGCTAGATATCACCCTACTCCCTACTTTTCCTTCATAAAAAAGAGACACTTTCCTACAGATGGCGTGAGAAGATGTTCCTAGGTTGCAGGATGTTCTGGATAGTTCATTTTATGTGCCTAAATGAATAAACAAAATTGCTAAAGGAGAAAATGGATTAGATGTATAGTAATCAGAAGGAAATATCCAACAAAAATGAAAGGTAAAGGTAAAGGCCCTCCCGTTGTTCATCGATTTGCTCGAGCGGACCCAGTAACGTTTCCATTGGAGACTTTGTTGTTACTGTGTCTGGCATATCGAATACGTCACAGGGAGCTTGCCAGGCTCTGCCGTGTGGGCGAGATACTCTCAGTAGCTTGCCGGGCTCTCCGAGAGGGGCGAAGGAATCGAACTCGGGTCGGCCGTGTTGGCTGCGTGCAAGGCAAACGCCCTACCTGCTGTGCTATCGCTCCAGCCCAACAAAAATAGAAATAAATTTAAAAGTAAGCTGAAAAATAAAGTATTACACAAAACGGAGAAAATAAAACTATGAAGTCTGTCACAATTGACAAGTAATCAGATTTCAGTTCTCTGAACACACTCTATTATATGCACTTTGCCTTCCCACTCACATTATTTTGATTTGCACATTCAAAATAATATATTGAACATGGCAAGATGAGTTATTCTAAGCTGTATTAAATGTGCCTATAATGATCATTAGAGATATGTGTAATTTCTAAGGTTTTTTAACTACACAGAAATCGTTCCCTATTTAAATTCAGTACACCTGTTAAAACAGGGAGTGTATCATAACTTGCTGGCCTCAAATTATCATTTGTTTCAAAGAGCACTTGCTCTGCAACAATCACCTTAACTAACCCTCAGCTAGATGATCCACAGCTGGCCCCACTAAGTAACATCTATGACTTAGGGAGGTCCCTATACGTAAAGACTGTCACTGTCACTGTCCTCCCGTTGTTCATCGATTTGCTTGAGTGGGCCCAGTAACGTCTCCATTGTGAGACTTGTTACTCTGTTTGGCATACCTAAAGACAGTCAGCCAAATTTGGAAACCATTATTTTTTTCTTCTGCTCCTTTTTTTTTCTGAAACTCAGGGTCTCACATATGCAAGGAAAGTGCTACTTTCTGAGGTATTCTCTCAGGAGGAAAGACAAGGTGGGTGATACAGGATAAGATAGAGAAGAGGAAGAAGCAGAACAAAGATTTCATCTTCGCTGAGTATGAGCTCTTTTGAGATTTCTCAGGCATAATCTGTACCAGAAGCTGGCCCTGCACTGAACAAGTGACCACTTTTCTGTGCCCCCATCCCAGTCGTGAGTGTGGGCAGGGCCATAATATGCAGGAAAAATGGGCTTCCTTTTGCTTGAAGGCACTCTTAAGCCTAATAACCACAAATTAAGAAAAATACCCAAAGCAAGCCAGTTTTACTCGACCATTATGAATGAAGGGATAGCATCTTTCGTTGAGAGCTCTACAGCTGTGAGGCTGTAGAGTACAAACAAACCATCTGTCTGTGTTCCCAGGCATGAATGCCAAGAGCTTTGTCTCATTTACACTTTCAGAGCTCTAGGCTTAATTGGATATGTTCTTATTTAATATCTTTCCAAACCTAATTTAGAATTACTAAATACTGCTCCCTAGTTATAAGAAAGAACTTCCAAGCTTGGAATTCTAGAGCATATTATCAGACTTAAGGTATTATCTATTACAGAAATTCATATATTTAGTTTTAATACAAAGTATAGTAACATAGAACAATAACAAATTCAGTACTTTAATCAGTTCTGAGAAATAACATAAAATTCATAAAGTTTGAAAAATGTTTAAGACAAATACCATCAGCAAAGCACAAAAGTCAATAATCTACAATGGTAGTAAAAATATAGGAAGTTTTTCTCTTAACTGTTTTAACTCCTAAAGTAGAAATTAAGAAACAATCATTAGAGAGCTGTATGCAGTTCCATTTAGTGTTTATTTTTGTTTCCATATCCAGAAAGCCTTCCTGTAAGATAGCACAATGATCTCAAAAGTATCATGTGCCCAGTTGGATTTTGGGAACTAGAGTGAGCACAAGGATGTTAACCAGAACTCCAAGCTGGTTACAACTTGGTGTGTCTGTGGCCTGGGAGAAGAGGGAACTTACAGACCTCCTATCCCCCTTCCTCTTAAAGCCTTTAGGCATTGTAGGTATTCCTGGCATTCAGCTCAGTCATCCACCTAGTCAAAAAGGGACATAAAACAATCTATCCTGGGTAGAAGAGCACTTAAAATGCTTTGTTAAGAAAAGGATGTAATCAAATAAGCAGATATGGCAAGGAACCCTCAAATGGAAATGATACATGCCTGGTGATGCTGGCACCTGTCCCTCCAGGTACACATCATTCTTTTTCCTTTCCTTTCTTGGTGGGGTTGAGAATCCGATCCAGCATCTCACACATGAGAGACATGTGCTCTGCTACTGAGTTACATGCCCAGGTTATTCTTCCCTGTCTCTTTCTGCACCATATTCTCCATATCTCTGATTGAGGCTAATAGGTAAGTAGTTGTTGATATATTAATTAGTACTAATAAGAAGTATCAGAGGCAGATGAAGTTGGAATAATCTCAAATAACCAAGTAAAACCCCTAACTTATAGAATTTCACCATGCCACCGACTAGTGGAAAACAACACATGAATGAATGTCTAGGCAGACAACAAACAGTACATACTTTAGAAAAATTTTAATGTGCCATTCTGAACAATTCCATAAAACTTAAATTCATGTTAATTATATTGTTTATTAGCTCGTTTTATTGTTAAAATCTTCAGTGAGAGCTGAAAGGTTCTAGGATCATTGGTGATACTAAAAATTCTAAGAAAATCTCACCAAGTTTCAGATGGTTGTAAAATTTCTTGATTTTCTACTTAAAAAAAACATGTCTTCCACATTTGAACAAGAAAAAGTATGCTACATAGTGATTGATGGGTTTTGATTGGCAGTTCAGCTGGTTTCAACAAATTTGAGTACCAACTGTGTACCAGGCACTGCACTAGATGCTGGAGACACAAAGGGGAGTAAATCATGGTCCCTGTCCTCAAGGTACTAATAGTCTCCTGGAGGCAAACACACAGTGCAAAGACTCAATGTTTATATTACATTGACAAAAATATTATCATTGTTGGGCCTTTAAATACGGGGGCATGTTACTATTTGTAATGTGAAGGCAGAAAAAAATGAGGATCATTTTCATGTGAGCAAACAGTAAAATCATTAAGACCTAACTTTCAAAGACTCACATGATCAAGGTAGTTGATATTCAACATACATCATCATTTTTCAAGTATTATAAACTTAGGAATATTATTGCCCACAGTTGTGCTACAGTCAGAGCCATAGTCCCAGGCGGGGAATCATTCACCTCTCAGCACGCTGGGACTCAACTTCTCACTGAGTTTATGAATTAGAACTGCTAATTCCTCAGTTGCTTGGTTCTTGTCCTCCAAAAGTTCATATCGAAGGCTGGAGATATCTTGCTTGATTTCTTTTAATTCACCTATAGAATGTATTTAAAAATATGCAATTTGTCATTTGTTCCTTGGATTCAAAAAAGAAAGTTTAATCATATAATGTGAACACATTTGCTTCCTGAAGTACCCAGAGTAACTCAATTGACTCCTCTGACTTTTAACAGAACAGAGACTGGTTTCTCTGGTCTGTAACAAGTGTGTCTCCCTTCTGTCTACAAGAGCTTTTGGTTCCCTCCATCATGATCATGGACACTAACCTCTATCATCTTCTATGGTTAGGATAGAAGGAAATGCAAGCAAAACTAAACTTTAACAGGAAAATATTAAAATGGAAGAAGTAAATTTGGGTGTGTGTGTGGATTATTAGGCTACATCGAGCAGTGTTCAGTGTTTAATTCTATCCCTGTGCTCAGGGATCACTCCTAGTGGTGGGGGACCATAGCAATGCCAGGGATCAAGCCTGGGTCACCACATGCAAGGCAAGTGGCTCAAAAGAAGTAAATTTTAAGTCATTTGGAAAAAAGAAAGGGAGGAAACTGAATATGGTTATTTAATAGGGGTGGAAATGGTGATGATCATAGACTAACAAACTGAGTGACACAGAGAATAGAAAGACACAGAGTATAGGAAGTATCAAGAAACAGTGAAATTAGGAAGTTTAGACATAATCTCTTAGGCAATGTGATCTCTACAGCTGTTCAACTCAACAATCCCCATATTCAGCTGGGTTGTCTTCTGAGCATATTGCAACTGAAACCTGAATTCTCTCGGAAATGACTGCAATGACCATGACAAGCCATTGACCATGTAAGGCAAACTCTAGGGCAGGAATCTTAATCTAAGAAATGATTTCCAAGTCTTTGTATTTTAACAGATTCTTTGGAATAAAATCACATGTAAAACAAACCTTTCATGACATTTCTTGGTATCTCTATGATGCCTTTAAGTTTAATTTTCATGCCCTTTATTCAATAAAGCCAGACCTTTTAATTATATTTTTTCATTTTGGGGGTCCACACCCAGCTGTACTCAGAGCTTGCCCCTAACTCTACACTCAGGGTTCACTCCTGGCCCTGCTCAGGGTACCACATGCAGTGGTTAGGATTGAACCTAGTCAATTTTGTGTATGGCAAATACCTTTCCCACCACAGTATCTCTCCAGCCCATGACTTTTTTATTTCCAGGAACAAACTGATCTGATAAAGGAGATTGTCACACTATCAAGCATCAGATTCTGCACTCTTCTGACTATTTCTTACCCTTCAACCTTGTTTCAAGTTATGGGGAGGCTTTAGCTCAGTGTGGGTGATCTCTGCCAATACAAAAAGCAAACTGTTGACCTCTCTGGACTTGTACTCCTCATTTATAATTATTTATATATTTATGACTATTTATATTTATGGGGCTGGAGCAATAGCACAGCAGGTAGTGCATTTGCCTTGCAAGCGGCCAACATGGTCGACCCAAGTTCGATTCCTCCGCCCCTCTCGGAGAGCCCGACAAGCTACCGAGAGTATCTCGCCCACACAGCAAAGCCTGGCTTGCTACCCATGATGTATTCAATATGCCAAACACAGTAACAACAAGTCGCAAGATGGAGACGTTACTGGGCCCGCTCAAGCAAATCAATGAACAACGGGAGGACCGTGATTGTTTTTGTTTTTTGTTTTTATATTTATAGTTATATATTTATAAATTTATAACTACTTATAAAATGGGGAGTTTAAGCTGTGATAATCTTCCTTAGAAATTTGTTCAAAACTATAGTCAGTTTGTGACAGTTTCTACTATTTTTTTTCTTTTTGGGTCACATCCAGCGATACATAGGAGTTACTCCTGGCTTGTACACTCAGGAATTACTCCTGGCAATGCTTGGGGACCATGTGGGCTGCTGGGAATTGAACCCCGGTCAGTCACGTGCAAGGCAAATACCCTACCCACTGTGCTACTGCTCCAGTCCTGTAACAGTTTCTACTTTTTTTTTTCTTTTTGGGTCACACCTGGCAATGCACAGGAGTTACTCCTGGCTCTACACTCAGGAATTACCCCTGGCGGTGCTCAGGGAACCATATGGAATGCTGGGAATTGAACCTGGGTTGGCAGTGTGCAAGGCAAACGCCCTACCCGCTGTGCTATTGCTCCAGCCCCGACAGTTTCTACTTTTAAGGAACTTATTTCTCCTAGATTAATGTTTCTCCTAACTCTGGGCAATGATTCCAGCTATTATCCATCCCTTGATTAAAAAGGTATCCAATCCAGAGAGATGCTCTGCCTCAGAGATATCTAGAAAATGGGCACAAGTGAGGAAGGAACTAAGGAGAAAAGGACAGGGCAACAGAGAAACACCTACCCAGGAAAAGTGGCGACAGTTTCTGGATTACAAAGTAGAGATTCTTCTGAAAAAATGTGAATTCTGGAAGCTGGAGCGATAGCACAGCAGGTAGGGCATTTGCTGTGCACACGGCTGACCCGGGTTCAATTCCCAGCATTCCATATGGTCTCCCGAGCACCACCAGGAGTGATTCCTGAGTGCATAGCCAGAAGTAACCACTGAGCATTGCTGGGTGTGACCCAAATAGTAAAAAAAAAGTGAATTCTCCTTGGGCCAATCATTGTTCTCCCTGCATCTCTGGGAACTGAGCACAGAGGAGCTGAGGTGATGCCCTCTGCTCCAGATGCTCTGGTAAGCGACATCTCACTCTCAGAGACACGAGAGGATTTTGGGCAGGGGAAAACTGTCCCTGTCCCTCACTGAAATATTGATAGCTGCTTCTTCAAAAACACAGTATTGGGGGCCAGAATAATAGTACAGAAAGTAAAGCACTTTCCTTGCATATGGCCGACCTGGGTTTAATCCCTGGCACCACATGTGGTCCCCTGAGCCTGCCAGGAATGATCCCTGAGCAGAGTAAGCCCTGAGAATCACTGCGTGTGACTCAAAAAAGCCAATAAAAAATAATAAAATAAAAGCACAGTATTTTAGAAGTGCTATCTAATTCTCCAATCTTAGAGTACCCCAAATTGATCCTGAAATTGGATTTTTAAGTATCCTTCATATGGCATTTCCAAACCTTATTTTTGGTCGTAAAAGTTATGACTCTCAAGTTGAAGAGGCTTACCTTCATTAACTTCATCATTTTCTTTGTCCACTTGTGCTTTCAAAACATATCGCTTTATAAGTCTTTTCATTATTTGCTGTTGGGCAAAAAGAGATTATTGTAGGGACTGGAGTGATAGCACAGCGGGTAGGACATTTGCCTTGCACACGGCCGACCGGGTTCAATTCCCAGCATCCCATATGGTCCCCTGAGTACTGCCAGGAGTAATTCCTGAGTGCAGAGCCAGGAGTAACCCCTGAGCACTGCCAAAAACCAAAACAAAACAAAAAAGAGATTACTGTAGCAACAGTGATCAAAGTAGCCTCCATCTTCTTGTCCCAGGGGCCTTACACACACAAGGAGTAAAATACTTAGTCAGAGAATGTTTACAAATCTTCACAGAATTGCCCAGATTTCAGAACTTAATGCTTTTACCTTGATTGCCTGGATTTCAGAACTTAACCCTGAGATTTATACAAAATCCACACTTTTTTTTGTTCTTTCTTTTGGAGGGGTAGGGAATGGGGAGATATCTGGGCCATACCCAGCAGTGCTCCAGGCTAATTCCTGGCTCTGTAGTCAAGAATCACTCTTGATAGTGCTTGGGAGACCATATGTAGTGCTTGGAATTCGACTTGGAATGGTCTCAGATATAACTGAGCTTGTAATGCAAGCATCTTAACCTCTGTATTATCTCTACTAATAGTTTTGAAGTAAAGATTTGTTAGTGTAATATCATTTTTAGCCTTGAAAATAAAAATAATTTGGTTCTCCAGCATTTGGAGAGCCTGGAAATAAATCTAATAGACATAAGGATTTAGGAAATGATGAAGGAGGTATTTCAATCAGCAGATAAAGTAGGTGTTTGGCATGCCTATCTATATGCTTTACATGGGGGGAAAATGGATCTTCAACCCCCATGTTACACCAAAATAAACCCAATGTGGACCACATATTTTCATATGAAAATTATGAAACCAAGAAAATGGGGGTAAAAAAATAAGTGAAGATCTTTACAAAGAGGACATAATGCCTGAAGTCATAATTTTCTTTTTTTTTTGCTTTCTGGGTCACACTGGCGATGCATAGGGGAAGTCATAATATTTTTGAAAATCCAGATATACACAGATAAAAAAGGGGGGAAATAGGTTAAATATGATTAATTACAATTTATTAGTTCTTGATGAACTCTGCTTAATTTAAGACAAAAGCCAATTGAGAAAACAAATACATATTGGATCTCAAGTACAGAAAGCACTAAATACGAAAACATGGTACAGCCCACTCACTATGAAGAATGTAGAACAGGCCCATACTGAGGCATCATTTTACTCCTACTTGGCTGAAATAAACATTTTTGGTTCATACCATGGTAAATTAGGGAGAAAACAGGCACTTTAATATATTTATTGTAATATATTTATTTATATTTAATATATTTATTTAATATATATTTAAAGTCAGTTTTATCTATCTAAAAAATTAAAATGCACATGTGTATTAACGAGACAATTTGACAATTTGCACTTTGGAGTGTCAAATCTACACAGTCACTGAGTTCTGCTTGCCAAATTAAATGGTGTTACTATGTTCTCATTCCTTCAATAGCAGATCAATAAATGAAGAATAGCTACATAATTGAATATAGTGTAACTATTAAAAATAAATTAAAAATAAAGCTTTGAGAATCAGTGTGTCAAGCAATTTAACAGAATTTACAGGTCCCAAGAAAAATGTATAAAAGAGGATATCTCCACTCAACATCATAATTCTCTCTAAGTTCTTTGATCCTCATTCTTGTTGTCTTGTACAAATCAGAAATCATAAGTCTATAATTAAAAATGGTCAGCCAGATAGAAAATAAAAGACTCTTCTGTGTTGGAGAAGAGTATTCAAGTATCAGATCTCACATCAAAATGCAAAAGGTTTTTGAAAGCAATACCAACTAAGCAGTATAGCCTAAGATCTATCTGAATGGGGGAGAGGGGGTGTCTGAAAGAAAACCAGGAGAAAAAAATGAGAGCTCGCCACTATGTGGACACTATTTACTGCCCACTGCTCTCTCCAGCTCAGGGCCAACTGTAGATGTTCTCTGAAGTAACAGCAATACTTTGCTTCTGTTACTGCAAAAGAATTCTTCTTCCACAACTGAAAAATGGAGGAGAGAGACTCTGATTTCAAGGTAGTAAATCTGTTTTGTCTTCATATTTCCTCCAAAGACTATAATTCTCACAGATGTGTGGGCACATGTGTGACCACACACTTGCCCACACACATGTGTGAGTTACAGATAGGAAGATAATGTCTCATGCTTACCTGATAACGTGTTGGCTGATTGAGGATGCTGTTAAAACTGTGCGATTCAAAAACTCTCGAATTAGACTGAGTGACGAGGTTTAACTAGGAAAGAATACAATTCATTTGGTAAAATAAAATACAATCATTTGGAAATCAGATACATTGCCTGATTGAGTACTTTATTCTCATTGATAATCTTCCTGGAGTCAATATTTCTTTTCTTTTTTCTTTTTTGTTCTTTTTTTCTTTTAAGCTACACTTATACTAACTGGAGGGATTGCACAGTGGGACTGGAGCAACAGCACAGATAATAGGGCATCTGCTTTGCACGTAGCTGAACCAGCTTCGATTCCTCTGTCCCTCTCGGAGAGCCCTGCAAGCTGCCAAGAGTATCCCGCTTGTACGGCAGAGCCTGGCAAGCTCCCATTAACGTATCTGATATGCCAAAAACTGTGACAACAAGTCTCACAATGAAGACATTACTGGTGCACGCTCGAGCAATTCGATGAATAACGGGAGGACAGTGCTACAGTGCTATGCTACACCTGGCTGTGCACAGTGTTTACTCTTGGCTCTGCACTCATGGATCACTCCTGGCAGGGCTTGGTGGACAATATGGGGTACTGGGGATCAAACATAGGTCAGCCACAAGCAAGGCAAGTTTCCCAGCCACTGTTTTGACTCCAGCCCCCAGAGTCAGTATTTCTGAGGCACATTTTGTTGAAAATTGATTTGTAAGTGATCCATTATATCTCCAAAGGTAAAAATGTCAGCAACAATTTCCCAACTTATCAAAATGTTGGAAAATGCACCTATATAACTGATTAGCTAAAAATCAATATCTTGGGGGGGGGTGGGTAGGAGGTCTACATTCAGCGGGGCTTGGGGGTCAATGCTGGGGGTCAAACCCAGGCCCTCATACATTCTGGCTCTTGAAAAATGTTTTTTTAAAGTGGGCTCATACTAGACATCATGATATGGGGGACTTTGCTGACTTTACTGAGATGCACCCTTGGTATCCTGTAGGCCAGATGCACAGAAGCTGCTCTGCCTGCTCTACGCCTGAACCCCCAGACACCTGAAGCACCGAGTTCAGGAGAAGCATCTTGTATTCTGTGGCCCTAGCACATCTTCCCAAATACTGTGACTTGATACAAGATTCACACCTTAAGAGACAATTGGGGTAAACGTTTTTCCCCCCACTTTTAAGGTTTAACTTGAGTGCCTGCAAGAACAGAAAGCCAAGAGAAACCATGACTATGGACCCTACTGGGTGGGCACAATACTCACATATGTGCAAGCTGATCCCTGCACATGTGTCCAAAGCAGGGCCTGTCCTAGTCCCTCCTCTGCCCTCCTCCACTTCCCCATAACCTGGAAGGATCTCCAAGGCAGGGAGGGAAGACTACAAGGCCCAGCTGAGAAAGCTGCTAATAAGAGAATTCTCCCACTGCCACTGGGGGTCAGCATCTGACTGCTCTCAGCTGTATTTAGCCAAAATTTAAGATTCTTTCCTGCCCTCTAGTACAGCATCTCCAGAGCTGTACTAGACTCTGTACACAGACAGTCTCTGAGACTATGAACACAGAAGAGAGACGTAGGCTGTAAGTCAGACCAGGGCTCCTGAGAGACGAAGTGGAGTCCTCCGTTTCCTCTCCGAGTCAAGCTCTTATTCTTGCCAATGGTGCAGCAGGAAACTGCCTCCCAGAAACCACTCCCAGGCACGGCTGTGTGTCCTTGGTGGGGCCTCAGAGTCCCTCTGCCTGACTCGGCCCCTCCACTCTGAGAGCTGACAGCTGCCTTCAGGAAGCAGAATGAACACTGGTTGCAGAGCTTCAGGTCCCAAGCTAGACCAGACCTTAGAAGTAAGCAGCTGCAGTAAATCCCAAGATCAGAGAGGCTACCAAATAGTCATTGCAGTAGCAGTGGGCATTACCCACAGAGCAGTTAGGGGCTAGCTTATCTCCAAGGCAGCTGGAGGGTGGGGGGAGGGCACAGCTGCTGGGGGCTGCAGGTACAGACATCCTCAGAAATCCAGCCGACATTGAATTCCTCCAGTGCCAGGGCAGCCTTATTTATGGAACAGAGTGACACCATTTACCACACAGCAGTGCACAGGACTCACATGTGCTGCAGGACATTTTGTGAACCGTGATGAGATGGGGGTGGGGCTGCATCTCTGGGATCCCTTATGCTCATCACATCCCTGCAATGTTCTCCCTTCCCATGAGACCATTAAAGCTTAGCATGCTGGAGCGACTAGCCTATGCCAGCTGTGCATGAGGCCCGAGTGCCATGGCTCAGCTCCCTGCATCACACAGCTACTCACTGCACACACCTGAGGTGTCAACTGAAATCATTAGCAGTCGTGGTCATCACTGCTTTCCAGGCGCAGGACCTCAGGACTGCCAGTCAGGCAAATCAGAGTGTAAAAGACCCTTCCTGAATGCACTGCTAAACTTTGAAATGCATGTTCAATTTTAAAAGTGAGAAGTAAAATGCATAAACTTGCTCTTTTTCTTCAGCTTCAACCGAAAATGACGAATTCACCTCAGACTACAGGGCAGCACTCCAAGGGTCAATGTTGCCACCTATGTGTTCCTGGAACATTTATTATGGTAGGCCTAAGAAATACTTCACCCTCACATATTTGCTCATACCTGCATCCCTCCATAGTCTTTACCATTCTCCCCACATTTTTCTGTGTCATATACCAAGTCTATCTCAGAATACTCATGATAATGTGCTTAGATGAAGCTCCTCATTTCAAACATCCTAGTGTGACTCTGCTGGGATAACCCAAGGGTAAACCGAGCGATAGCACAGCAGTAGGGCGTTCGCCTTACAAGCGGCCAAGATGGCCGACCCGAGTTCGATTCCTCTGCCCCTCTCGGAGAGCCCGGCAAGCTACCGAGAGTATTCGATATGCCAGACACAGTAACAACAAAGTCTCCAATGGAGACGTTACTGGGCCCGCTTGAGCAAATCGACGATCAACGGGAGGGCCTTTACCTTTTACCTTTTATTCACAAAAAACAGTATTTGTATGTAATATCTGAGGACATATTTAGACCTGTGCCAATAAGATTAAATTATTTAGCATTTCTACTCATAAAGTATTTCTTTTAAAAAGACTAGAGTTGTGGGTTTGCAGACAGAGGAAGATGTGAGACTGAAACTGTAGCATAATAATCACTGTCACTGTCCTGTTGTTCATCAATTTGCTCGAGCGGGCCCAGTAACATCTCCATTGTGACACCTGTTACTGTGTTTGGCATATCGAATATGTCATGGGAAGCTTGCCAGGATTTACCATGTGGGCGAGATACTCTCGGTTGCTTTGATTGCCAGGGTTGATTCAGCTGATCTGGCTGGCTAGGTGGTGTCCCCTTTTTCCTCACTGATGGCCTTCCCCTAATAGAGACGGACCGGTCTTCGGTCGAGGGTATATGAGTAGCTGCACTCCCCTGCTAGGACCTCCAAACAAGCTTAATAATAATAGCTGAGAAATGTAGAGTGTGTTTTCAAGCAATGCCTTTTCTGTTTACTTTTAATAAGAGTAGTTTTTGTCAGCTTGCTTTTAATCTGACACTGCAGATGAAATTTTGACCAAAGATTTGAAACATTTGGAAGATCCAGAAACATTCTAAAGGTATGTGGCCCCACTATTTTCACTGAAGAGCTATTCTACTCTGAGAGCACAGTGTGCTCTAAAATATACAGGATGTGGGTTCCACTAAGGGCAAAGCATCAAGAGTCGCTGGTCATTAACCTGGAGGAAGTTCAAATGACCATGAAGGAAGGCATCAAAGTAAGTCCTATCTAAAATAGAAGAAATGGTGGTTTCTAGAATACCAAGATTGAAAAGATTAAAATTCAAAAGATTGAAACTTTCTGAAGGTCTTAAGTTAGAGGTCTAGGAAAGTCCATACAATGGACAGTAACTTTCAACATCTTCTAAGTCTATACATGGGAACTACTGAGTACAGCTCATGACAAGGAGAAAGAGACTATGCATCCTAAGGTCTTGGCAAGTTTTTAGTACTCACCCTGGACTTTGAGTTGCCCATTCCTATTTCTGTATCCTTCTGAAATCTTCTCCTTCTGCATTTGGGGAAGTTAATGATCCTCATGAAAAAATACACAAATGACTTTGGACTAGGAACTAGGCTGAATGGTGGAGGCAATGTCTTTCCATCATCAAAATAAGACAGCCAAAGTTTGGAGCGTGCAAACTTCCATTCCACATCACTGTCATCCTGCTCAAAAGAAGAGAAAGGACATTTAGGAGCCCATTACAGACCTGGCCATTCTAGGGCTAAGACTGAGGCTTACTGAGGGACACAGTGCATGTCTTACAAGTGTGAGGCCCTAGGCTCAATCCCTGGCACCTCAAAACCCCAAACTTGCAAATCTTACATAACTATTCCCACAGGGTCTTACAACAAACTAAATTTATGCCTTTGAAACAGACAGGTGGCTTATATACATTTATCTGTATATTATTTCTACTGGCCTACATACTGTTTTTAGTATTGCTTATGATCCCCAAATAACAACATTAAATAACAAAACAAATAAGACATTACAAAAGTTAAATAACAAAAATTCCTCTTCCTGAAGCTCTAAAATTTAACCAGAACTTCCTACCTCTCATCCCAAACTAAAGTAAACACAGGGAAAACTCAAGCAGGATGGAAAGTCTCACACTCCTCACTTGGCCATCTGCCTGTCCAGACACATGTAGAGGATGTTCTCTAATTCTCCCCCAGCAAGCCTCCCCACAGCCATGGGCACAGCACAGTACATACCAAAGGCTCAGGGAAAATGACTCTCAGGTGAAGTATGACTTGTGGTTTCTTCCTGTCACAAAGCCCTCACACCCACCTGTGTCCTCAGGGTGCTGTGGGAGTGACTGCACAGCTGTCCCTAGCAACTAGAGGGACCGAGAAAGCCAAGGCTAAAGGACCACACTCAGGTGTTGTTCCACCATTTTCACTGAAGAACTAACTCTACTCTGGGAGCACAGTGTGCTCTAAAATGTACAGGATGTGGGTTCCACTAAGAGCAAAGCATCAAGAGTCGCTGGTCATTAACCTGGAGGAAGCTCAAATGATCATGAAGGAAGGCATCAAAGTAAGTCCTATTCAAAATAGAAGACATGGTGGTTTCTAGAATACCAAGAACCCTGACTTTAGATTACATGGTTGGTTACAGTGCTTGGCAGATACCTACTAATCCTCTCTAAGACAGGCTACCAGCCCCTGAGAGAGAACTTCCCTACGGTCAGTCTCTCCTCTAGCCATTTGTTTCATGGGTGCAGCAGCACAGCCAGGCAAAGACAGCACATTTGAGGGTGTCCCTGTGGGGCCCTGCCATGCTCCCACAGATGCTGGACCACATAGGGCATCTGGGCCTCCCGGGCCTCCCTCTATCCCCCAGTTGGACCATGTGCTGCACTCTGGGTTACTCCTCTGTCCCCGATATAGCCCCCCGGCATGGAGCAGCTGCTGCGTGTGCAGCATGGTGGGTGAGGGAAGGCACCTAGAGCATGGCTCACCTCAATCTCCTGGTAGGAGCTGTTGATCATGGCGATCAGCATGTTGAGTAGCACCACCACCATGGTGACATTGTAAATGCCATAGAGGACGTAGCCGATATTCTCAATAAATTTGTGGTCATATTTGAGCACGACGGACGTGACTTCAGACAACCCAAATATTGACCAAAACAGCGTCTTGAAACTTTCTTCTACACTGTTGAAAGAACAGGTACATAGTGAGTAAACAAACAGGTTTCAGTGTGCAGAAGTCAATGGTAAAAGCAAGATAGACATGGAAAACTGCACGGGTGCAGAATGCCATCATAATAACCCTCACACTTAGGATCATTTCACTGTCAGAGTTAATAACAATCACCCTCTCAGTTTTAGGAGAAAGCATTAAGTGAAACTTAGGTTGCACCACCATGCCTTGATCTGGGGTCTAGAGCAATGGAAGTTTGGAGTGTGGCTTTTTTAGATGGTACGAGATTTAAGTCAGGTTTCTGGAGTAGTCCATGGAGAAATGAAACAATGCACCAGGAACCCTGTGGGAACCACTCCAGAAAAGAGGTTCGATGGGGTTGCAGACTACACAAGTCATGAGAAAGGTAGACAAAAAGGGGAGCAATCTACCACGAGGGAAAGAGAGGGGCACAATAGAGCTGCCTTTCTTCTTTCTTCCTTTGGTTAATTTGGGGCTTTCTCCTGGCTTACTCAAGGACCACTTCTGGGGGGACCAGAGGGCCACATGAGGTGCTGGAGGTAGAACCTGGGTTGGCGCCCTATTCACTGTACTGTCTCTCTGGCCCTATTTCTGTCCTTTATGCACAATTCAGAGAATCCAGAGGACCCTGAAAGCCTGGGATGGAGGGAGGTGGCAGGATGTTCAGTCAGTGCCTCTTCACTCTAGTGTGTCCTCAGTTTGTATCATCTACGGAAAGTTATGCTTCACTGGAACGGAGGAAGAGAGAGATGTCTGTCTTTCCCCCAAATCTATCATGTCTGACTCATCCATCTTAGGAGAGGGCCCACACAGGGCCTCATGAAATGAATGATCTGCTTTCAAGTCCCTGAGTGACCACAGCTAACTAGGCCTGGCTGGCTTTATCATACAGCCAAATTGGTTGTACTATATGAGAAAGCACTGGTCTGTGCATGGAAAGGTAATCCTTCGATCGAATAATTACACATGCAAAATTCCATTACAAAGAAAACTTTGAATATATTTTTTCTAAAAAAATTTATGCAAGAAATACATTTTTGATTTGTTATAACAGATTCTAAATAACAATTCTATAGGCTTACTTAATTACCTGGACTTGCCAGTGAGACATTAAACAAAGCTTAAGTACTGGTTTATATATTAATTTACTAAACAAACATTGAAGAGCACTACTATTATTACTATGTTCTAGAAATAATGCTGCTTTCTGGGAAAAGGTTGGATGAAAGGCTCCTGTTAGTTCTTTGTGTTTTGAAACATTTCACTCTTTGATGCCAGAGCATAAAGGCTAAATGGGGACTAAGGAAAACTAGAGCCATTTTATTCATCCTACTAATGTAACCACATCACAAATCCTGTCTCCTTTCTCTAGTTCTTTTGACCGTCCAGCCCCCAACCTCATCCTTTGACTGGACCAGAGTGAGAGTGTGGGGAAAGGGATGGAGAAGAGGAAGGACCTGAAGGGGTGGAGGTGGACAGAGATGAGAAAGGACCTGAAGGGGCTGAGGGGGCAGAGAAGAGAAAGGACCTGAAGGGGCTGAGGGGCCAGAGAAGAAAAAGGAACTAGAGAGTCTGAGCTCTGACTGTGAGTAAGAGTCTCCACCCAGTCACCCATATGGAATCCCCCCGGCTTTGAGTTGTATTTTGCCCCATCTTGTTTTAAAAGTGAGGGACACCGTATTGAGAAATGTGCAGTATCTGAGCCTGGGGCCAGGCCTGCTCATTTTGCTGTCTCTCTCTCCCCTCCCTCAGGAAACAAGGGGAAACCAAGAGCTTAGTGGCTTCTAGAGCAGTCCTATGGGGCAGCAAACAGAGCTTTTCAACCAAAATGGAGTTTCAGTTCTGCTACCACCAAGACCTGCTCCATAGGAGCCATCAGAAAGAAATAATTATAGCATCTTGGAGGCTAACCCACTTGAGTTGATAGGACATGGGCGTTTGTCTCCAGTGAGGGTCAGAGGCACAGCAGGACTGCTGAGGTTAGGATACCCTCTGGGAAACCCTTTTTCTGAGAAGGAAGCACAGGGAAAGGCTCTCAGGCTGGAAATCTGGTGGATGGGTGGGGAATGAAGGGACCCAAGACCAAGGAATCGTGCCCAGCTTCCTGGAAGGGGAGTCTCGGGGGCAAAAACCAGAATAAGCAATAGCAAGATAGGACATATACTAGCACGGGCTGTAAAACATGTAGTTACTGTTCCTTCTTACTTAATTCCCCGGACTTGCCAGTGAGACATTAAACAAAGCTGAAAATTCTTTATGAAATACTAGTAATGGCTATAAAAATGATGAAGCTAAATTTAATGTTATAAATGATACAAGAGGTGTCTAGTATTAAAAATTTGTTTCCTAATGCTCTTAAAATAGCCCATCTTATCTAGGATTTTTCTAAATTCTGCTCTGTTCTGTCGCCAAATACTGAGCTCACAAGAGCCTTCAGATTAATCACAGCAGACACTGGTTTTTTTTCAGCTTTTGAAAACGTATTTATTACAATCACTGAAATTTTCCTTTCTAGAATTGTGAGACTGTCTCTCCATCACATTGCTTTAATAAGATGCTTTACTTACGTGGTAAAAGCAGCATTAACTTTAGCCCCAAGGTAGTAAGAATAAAGGATGAACATGCCGATCATAAAGGCAAGAAACACCATGATGAAGAGGACCATGAACTTGAATATGTCCTTCACGGTTCTCCCGAGAGAGATCTGTAAGGGTCCAAAGCTCTCATTGGCAGGGAGGATGTAGGCGATCCGAGAGAAGCTGAGCACAACTGCAATGGCATAGAGACCTTCAGATATGATCTGAGGGTCTGAGGGGAGCCATTTGTCTCTGGCTAGAAGAGAAGGGAAAGAAGTTGAAGACAGGCTTTCTGTTCGTGGCTTATAATGCAAGATAGCATCTAAATAGTCTCTATCGGGGGTGGGGGCGTTGAAATAACTCTACATCTGATGAACTGAGGGCATTGTTTTTTATGCAAAACCAGAACCAAGAATCCCACACACAGAAAATCTTTCAATGTGGGGAACATACTCACTGAGATAATGAGCCAAGTTCACATGGAGCAGAGATAGAATAAAGTGCAGATCCAAAGGAGAGGGTGCTTTGTGAGGGAGCAGGGGTCAGCAGAACAGTGTCCATAGTGACTGGATTCACTGACCAGCTATTCTGCTCCCTGGAACTTGTTGTTACAAGATTTAATTTCCACATGTCATGGGGAAATTAGTTCATCTGACAGATTAGACAAGCAAAATGTAACCTCAGGGGAAGTGAAGGTGTTTCTGAATCACAGGGGTGCTGTCAGTGTAACTCTGAGTGACAGAACTTGTTTCTGGAAGACATAAATATGACTGGGGCAAATACTGTGAAGGTTGATTCTATATGAGGACACTTAAGCCCCTCAAGGTCACTTAGCTCAAACAGAAAGATTTTTCCTGGGCATCCTCGAGAACTCTGGCTTCCTGGGTGATGGGGATGCTCCCAGAAGATGGATGCATTGAGAACATTTGCAGTCACAACAGAAACCAATAGCATTTGCTGCTATTAGCAAGTGTATAAATATTGTCATTACTAGCCTCTTCTAAGATGCAAAACCCAAGTACCAGAAAGTTTAGAAACTTGACCAGAATGTACATGTGATCAATAAGTAGTGAAGCCCGATTTAATAAATTTTCCTCCAAATGATTGTATGTGTGCATGTGTTTGTGTGTGTGTGTTTGTGTATGTATGAATAAATTTGAATAACTAGGTTATCAAAGTAGTCAAAACACAAAAGTACCATCATGGCACAAAAGTACCAGCTAGCTAAATTCTCCTCTCCCATGGAACTGACTTACTGCTCTGGTTGCTGTCTGAGCACGTACATTCCAGCTCACTAACTGCATGTGGTAAAGTGTCCAATTCTCTGAGGTTCGAGGCTCCTGTCCTGACGGAAGGAACTGTAGTTCTTTAGGATCTCTCCAGCATATCTGCATTCGCCTAAGCTGGCAACCCTACCCACAGCCACACCTGCTCTATTAAAATAGAGGGGGGCCCCCTCACTCCATGTTTGCTCTCTTCATCTGTGAGCAGGTCTGACACTCCTGAGCCCTTACTCTCAGGGACATGTCTTACCCCTCATTCAGACACTTTCATACCCCAAGAGTACTAGGAATCATAATTTTTTCACTTTCCATAACTTCTTCTCAACAATGTGACCTCTGAGGCACAGATTAACTAGAACCAAGGGACACAGCAATGGAGAGTCACAGCCTTGGTGTGAAACAGCCCGGTTGGTTAAAGTGCCTGCTGTTGTGCTGTCACCATCAACACACCTCCCCCAGGAAGCCAACTCTAAACCTTTCTGGACCCTCCTCCCCTCACTTGTGCTAACAACTCACCGTACGTGAAATACTGGATCTCTGGTGGGAGCGTGACTTCACTGAGGTCGCTCTCCTGGACAAAACTGTCCACATACTGCTGTGCCTTGGTGGCCTGAAGGAAGGCTAGGAACCTGGCCGTGAAGGCAGCGATGAAGATGGAGAGCATCCCGAAGTCCAGCACATTCCACAGCTGCAGGATGTATTCCCGTGGCCCCTCCAGCCAGAGCTCCTTGCACTCAGACCACATCATCCCTGCCATACCAGCCACAGGTTAGTGTCACTCCACATTCGGCCCTATCTCAGCAAGACCCTAGGGGGCCCCCAAGAGCCATGGCGGCCCCATCTGAAATCAGAGATGTGTGGCCAGCTCCATCCAGGGCAGCAGAAAAAGTGTGGCGGCACAAGGCAACCCCAAGGGCTCTGGTCACAGCCTGAGTCCTCACACCATCAGGATTCCTTGGGACACAACCATCAAAACAATTTGAAAATGCTCAAGTATATTCGCAACAAAAACCATCCCAGACCCCTGAAACACTTTCACTCCCCAACCGCCTTCTCTTGGCAAGGAACCCCTTGAGTGGGCCCAGCTGAAAGTGAAAATGCCAAACAACACCTGGGAGCAAGACTGTGGCTTGTGAAAAGAAGTATAATAGTGCAAAGTACATTCATAAAATGACAACTTAACCCGAACTGAGCTCAGAGGAGTGAGTGAGGGGTAAATGGAGAAGACCCTAAGAAGCAAGCAGGGTCAAGCTGAGAGAACATAAAAATGATCTGCATTCGTGATCAATAGATAAATGCTAAATCAATGGACTTACAGGTTTTTTTCTCACACTAATAATAAATTTGACTTTGATAGAGACATGGGGACAGAGAGATTGGACAGCAGATAGGGTGTTTTTCATACATGCAACCAACCCAGGTTCCATCTCTACAAGGGGTGATTCATGAGTACAGAGCCAGGAGTCAGCCCTAAGAACTGCTGGGTGTAGCTCCAAAACAAATAAAAAAAAACCCAAAAGGGGCTATTGTGAGGGAAAGGAACACTCTGAAAATGGAAAGTGTTCTTAAGTTCTAAAACTAAAACAATATAAATGTTCTTTAATCATCAGATAGTAGCCATGGGATTGTTTCACAAGTTTTCAGTGAAATATTTGGCCATTATAGGAAGCTATAGCACAGCATGTAGGGCATTTGCCTTGCACACAGCTGACCTGGGTTCAATTCCTCCATCCCTCTCCGAGAGCTGGGCAAGCTACCGAGAGTATCCCACCTGCACGGCAGAGCCTGGCAATCTCCCCATGGCATATTCAATATGCCAAAAACAGTAACAAGTCTCACAATGGAGACATGGAGATATTACTGGTGCCCACTCAAGCAAATCGATGAACAACGGGAGGACAGTGCTACAGTACTATTTGTTCAATGATTAAGGTTTATCTATAATTGGGCTCATGTTACCAAAAAAGTAGTTATCACCATGAAGGAATATACTTGAGCATTTTCAAATTGTCAAATATTGTTAGTCTACCTACCTCTCTTATGATGGCAATGATGTCATGCCAAGTATAGCAATACTTAAAGTAGAAAACCACAGAGTTCTGTAGCATTATTTTGATAGAACTTGGAGCAAGGCTTACCCAGAACCCAGACCATGATGAGCATTTCCGTCCAGGTGAACTGGGTGGTTTTCACCCTGAAGATCTGTTTGGGGTAATCCACGACGGTCATATTGGGCAATGTTGTGATGCCCTCAAATCGATCAGAGGCATTGAACACCAGCAGGCCCAAGAAGATGATGAAGGATGCAGCATGAGCCACAAACTTCATGAACGGGCTACGCAGAATCTTCCCCAGCTGTGACAACACAAACAGGAAACTAATTGCAGAAAATCTTCCTCAGTACATGAAAGTGAACACACAAGAGGAAAAATGGCACTGCTTCTATCCAGGAACAGAAATACATCATAAAGGGACTCTTGGTTTTTCCTCCAAAAGCCTTCAAACATGTTCCTGAACAGTTTGCCATGGGATATCATAGCACTAACAGATGCATTTCTAAAAATCATATGGCATAGACTATTTATCTTATTTGTATATAAAAGACTATTCAATGCCAAAAATTTTAGAAACTAAGAAACTCCAATTTTGTAACATGAAATTCTCTATTGATTTATGTTAAAATCTTATGACATGTGGGGTTCTTTTTTGCTTTTTGGGTCACACCCGGCGATGCAAAGGGGTTACTCCTGACTCTGCACTCAGGAGTTACTCCTGGTGGTACTCGGGGGACCTTATGGGATGCTGGGAATCAAACTCAGATTGGCTGCGTGCAAGGTAAACGCCCTACCCGCTGTACTATTGCTCCAGCCCCCTTATGATATGTTTGTAGCACACCAAAAAGCCTTTGGAGATTGAAAAAATACTTACTAGAGCAAGGTAAATTTTAATTCACATTTATATGATAAAGTCAAGAAAGTAGAATCAAGACAGATATTTTATCTGTTGCTATCATAATGAAGAGAAAGATATGTAAAAATTAAACCTCTGTGTACATAGAAGAACCGATAAGTGAGTGGATAAACATGTGTCTTATGTACACAATGGAAAAGTATTCAGTCATAAGATGAAAGATTTAGTGGAAGGAAGTGGACACTGGTAAAGGGATATGTATTGAAACATTATATACTTAAAACTTAATAATTAATAACTTTTCTAACTGTCATTTATAGATTAAAAATTCAAAAAGTAGTTTTAAAAAATGAAATTTTACCATTTGCACCAAAATAGAAGGTTCTCTAGGTGATAAGACTAAGTGAAATGAATGAGAAGGGAGGAAAGCAGTCATTGGATGATCTCATTCATATGTCCGATACAAGGAGACAAAACAAGCTAAGCAGACAAAACAAACAGAGAAGTAAATTATGATCGTGGATCTGAGGTCCCTAGAAAGGAAGAGGATGGGAGTTGCTAACCCAGCAGAGAAGGGATCGATGGATGCTTGTTTAATAATTTTTTTAAATTTAAGTAGGTTAACTTGAAGTGATCTCTGCGTTTGAAAAATCATGAAAATAGTACGAAAGGCTTTCTAAAGTTCAATTAATAAATGTTGTAGGGTGACTCCTTTGAAATTCCATGTCTGTTATAGAGAAAACAAAAGCAATTCCTCCTGTCCATCCACAGCTCAGAAACTGGGTGTATCTGATAGAACTGATCCCAGAAGTTTTCTGTTCTACACCCTCAGAGCCTCTGTTTTTCATTGTCATTAAAGCACTGTGGTTTACAAAGTAATTCATAGTTGAGTTTTGGGCGTGCAATATTGCAGCACCGATCCCACCCATCAGTGTCAACTTCCCTCTGCCAATGCTCTTAGGTTCTCTCCTGTATCCCCCACCAGCCTGCCCTCCTGACAGGCACCTTTCTAAGTTGGGTTGTTAAAATGAAGGCCTCTTGGTGTCAGTGCTGTTGACTCTGTGGTTTGAACATTGGGCTCTGTCATTCCTTAGCACCACCTTTGCACCTGGCTCCTATCTGGCCCCTACTGCTTCTCATCTCTCTTCTCCCTCTCCCCTCCTCTCTTCCTGTCCTTCCCCTCCCTACAGTCTGGGGCCAAGGTTGATCAGGGCATCCCTCCTTTCGCACTCTGTCTATGACCCTAAAACATGCCAAAGGCTGCATTCAAGAGATGACTTCAGGTAGCCATGTGTGCTGAGGACCAGAGTACATCTGGATTTCAGGATGGCACAGGGAACACATGCTATATTTTCCACCATGGACACAGAGTAGGGACAGCAGTGCACAGGCCTCTGGAGGGCTTACAACTGCAGGGAGCTGTGGAGGGTATGAACTATCTGCAGCATAGCCATTTCTCAGGAACTACCAAGACTGAGTTCTGAGAGGTTGGTCATTAAAGCTCTAACCACATGAGGATAAAGCAGCTTGCTTACCTGGACACAGCATCCAAAGGAGAGCTACCCTGTGAGGCAAGGTTTATAGGGTCTCGTATACCAAATGAGACAGGCCTGAACTGTCCACTCATGTCACCCAGAAAGGGAAGTCACAAGTGGGGTTAAGATTTTTGCTCTAAAGCAACCTTTCTCATATTCATTTCTAGTCTCCACCTTTCTGTATTTGAAAAATCCTGAGGTCACATTCCATAATACATGTCAAAGAAACTTGGCTGAGTTATCAAAATTGGTCCCAATGCTCAACTCTGCTTTTACTGCAAGGGCTACTCTGAAGCAATGGCAAGGATTTGTGCCATTGCCAACCCTATCATAAGCAAGACTAGGTTCACAGAGCAAGGAGGGATCAAAAGTCACAGAGCAACTGCTGCTCCAAACGGACTGTGGTACGACTACCACACACATCCTGGGTAGAGCCCCCAGCCCAACTTAATCCACTCCATACCAGCAGAAGGGAGGGCAGAAGGGGACAAGATGAAGCACTTCAACCCCGCCAGCCCCAAATGTTGAGAATCCGGTGCTGGGCACAGGAAGACAGAAAAACCCTCCCCGGACCCTCCCTGATGAAGCTCAGGGAGCCTCTTCCCTCCTGCTTTGCACCTTCACTGCAGAGCTGCCCTATGCCTCCACCCCAGCCCTGGGACCCTCTTTTAGAGTCAGCACAAGTGGGGCTGTCTTGGGCAGCATTCCCTCTGCACACCAAGGATTTTGTCTTAAAAGTGAGTATCACATGCCCAGCAGTGTGACTCTCCCCCTGGCACTAAAGCTGCTTTCATCCTTTGAATAGATCTAGTTGTTAAAAAGCAGAATTCAGGTCATCAACACTCAGGCAAAACTGGCAAGGTTCTAAGTAGGAAGCTTTTCCCACTTCCTTCCCAGAGAAAACGAGGCACGAGTGGCAGGAAAAGGCAGAGCAAAAGTAGCAGGAAAGCCATACCCTGCTGCATGGAGCGATCCAGTAGCCGATAGCCAGGAATGGGAGACCCAGTGCCACAACTAGCACCACCAGACACTTGATGGCCACCGTCTGTTCCCGCAGGCCTGAGAGATTCTCATACCAGATGGTCAGGAGCTGCTGCTGGCAGTTGGGGTGGGCCACAAACTGTGGAAGGAGAGAAAGAAGAGAGAGAGAAGGAGGTGGGCTTCTGCAACTGTTAGTTTACATTCCCCAGGGACGGTCCCAACCTGCAGACACTCGTGCACCCTCCCAGCAATTCATGACATTCAACTGTCAGGATCATGCTGGTGTGAAATTACTTATTTCCCTAAATTATGGGGGAAAGGTGTTTAGTCACAAAAGGATTAAGGTCTTTTTGTGTCCTAACCAGCAGGATGAAAAAGAAGAATGCAGCTGTTAGAAAGGACCAGTGACACACTCATGTCTCTGGAGGCAGAGGGGCTTCCATGTCCAGGGACATCTCCAATGGTTCTAGTTAGGGATTCCAAGGGATCCTAGCAACCCCCAGGGACTGGGTTTTCTCTGACAGTTTGCCTGCAAGGAGAGAAACAGTTCCCACCTACCAGTGTTGTGCCCCATCAACTCTGATTATAAAAGAACCAGAAACCAAAACCAAACCCATGCCCAGGGAGGCAGAGGGCTACAGTCTCCCCCAAATCTGCTCTCTTGCCCATGACCAGGAGGATAGCCTGACAACCACCAAACCATAGGATGAAAACATGTTAACAAATCTCAGTTTGAAATTCTTAATGGAATTCATTTTAATCAGACACACTAGGAGGGCTTGGGAGAGTCCGAGTATGAAAAAGAAGATGCTATCTTTCCTCACTTGCTCATTTCCTTGGGTAAAAACATATTTTATCTTCTTGAGTTCTTTTCACCTTAATCATGGAAATCCTTGCAAGGTACTGCACACATACCAAATCTCCCAAAACGGGATTCTGTTACTCTTCCAAGGGTCTAAGTTTTGAAAATGGTATTTCAAGACAAACACAATTATGACTGGGACTCGGGATAAAACGTGTGGCTATAATCCAGCTTGAAGATTCCTGAGTCTATGAGACAACCTCCTTGGTTTCCTGCTGGGAATGTCTGCAGACTTCCACTTCTGCCCATACTCTGTGGAAATTTCCTTCTTGCTTTAACTTCCTACCATCTGTGTGAAAGCCCTCGTCCCCTGAACAGTTCCTAAAAGTCTATCTCATCTTTCATCCATTCACTCATTCACATGCTCACTCTTCGAATACCCTCAGGCCCTCCTGGAGACCAGACAGCAAGGCTCTGCTGGGGGTCATGGTGAGCCAGCAGTAGATGTGGTGGGGTCCCTGTGCTGCCACAGTCAATAGCATTAACACTGAAGCACCTAGTCTGATGTGAGTGTAAGTTTTTGGTGTTTGCAGGGTCTGCTTTTCTGGGGAGTTGGAAGTATGAAAATAAGAGATTGTCTTAAAATCCCAGTCCTTGTTTTTGTCATGCTACAAATTCTAGCTCTTAATTGACTCTGTGGCTATTGTTGTTTTTATTTAATATATTTTAAAAAGCACAAATGAATATTTCTTTCCATTATTTAAAGTGCTAGGCTAGAGCGATAGCACAGCGGGTAGGGAGTTTGCCTCGCATGCAGCCGACCCGGGTTTGATTCCTCCACCCCTCTCAGAGGGCCTGGCAAGCTACTGAGAGTTATCCCGCCCGCATAGCAGAACCTGGCAAGCTCCCCATAGCATATTCAATATGCCAAAAATAGTAACAACAAGCCTCACCATGGAGACGTTACTGGTGCCCACTGGAGCAAATTGATGAACAACAGGAGGACAGTGCTACAGTGCTACATTTAAAGTGCTAAAACAAGTACCTAAGAAACGCTGGTGAAAAAATTAAATGGGCAATACAAAAGTAGCAAGTTAGGGCAAAAAAGCTAAACTCTTCAGGAAATGAATTTTTCTCCTTTCAATTACTTCAGAAATGGGCTATGACCTTTATCTCTTAGGCTTTTCACCTCCCCCAAATCTCCTGCAGTCATACCAGCTGAAGAGAGTTGCATGACATGTGGACGTTGTTCCCAGCTTCAATGCTTCTCACATGAAAGGGCCACATACCACAGACAGGACTCAGGCTTCCCTCTCTATCCAGCATGTGCGGGGGAGAGAATTCTCTACTGGGGCTACAAAGTTCTATCACAAGGTCAGTTCTGGACCTGGTTCTGGTGAGATTTCTGGATGCACAGCTTGGACAAGTTTACTAATCCAACCCTCCTGAGAGCCATGAGTCTCTGGTGTCACTGCAGCGCTTTGTGCTCAAACTGGTGATAGTCTGCCACTAAGGACCAGCACTGTGTGGTGAACAATTACAACAAACATGCAGCAGTTGTTGGGTGAACTTGTAAGGACTCATCCCAGGAGGGAATTTTGTAATGTGAAAGTGTCGCTCCAAATACTTGAATGCCACCAAGTACTAAACTCTGCACATCACTGCATATGCATTAGCTTATCAACCATCCAGTACCTAAGAAGCACTCATTCTTACCTTGGTCTATAACCATAACCCTGGTCTGACCTCTTAAGACCCTTACCATACTGCAGAGAGATGACAGACCTGGATGGACCCATTGACAAAACTGGCTCCATTCCGGATAACAGCTTTCTTCTATAAGGTTGGTCAAGTTCTCTTATAATATAAAAGCATTATTGTTATCTAGTACATATAAGCTACTGGAATCTAGATAACTGAATTTTGCGCGTTGTTTCTGGATGACACCTGGCAGTGCACCGGAATCCCTCTTTCAGTGACTGGAGGACCACATGATGCTGGGGAATCAAACTGGGAGCCTAACACAGCCTCACACATCTAAGGCAAGTGATCTACCACTGAACTACATCACTAAATTCCCAAATGATATTTTCATTTTTTAAACAACCATAAAGTGTGGGACCATAATAATAGTACAGTGAGCAAAACACTTGCCTTGCATGAGGTCAACCTGGATTCAAGCCCTGGTTCCCCATATGGTCCCCCAAGCCTTGCTAGGACTGATCCCTAAGTGCAGAGCCACGAGGAAGCCCTAAGAACAAATGAGTGTGGCCTCCAAACAAACAAACAAACAAACAAACAAAAAACAACAACACAAGTGAAATACAGCTACATTTTCTATGAATTATTCAAAAGCCCCATACAAACCAGAGTAAAAGGGAATCATAATTTTTATTTCTTGAAAATGCATGTTTGACTGCTTAATGCTGTATCCTGAGATAATGTCACAGAGCATGGTGAACCTTGGCTTCCATGGTAAGTGGGATCTTACGGCTCATCTCAGCTATTTTACCAGTGAGGAGGGTAACTCAGGGTTACTGCAGGGATTAATCTGACAATTCAGGTAACAGTCTTACCAAAAAAAAAAAAAAAAAAAAAAGCACGGGCTGCTTCTCTTAGCACACTGTAATGAACTTGGTACAAAATTCCTTTGCAAACATCTGAATCTAGTGACATTCCATCAAGACTCAGACATGTAAGAGATACCACCCTCTTTCTATGAGGAACTGAAAGTGAAGGTGTACGACCTATTCAAGTTCCCACAAAGCAGAAAAGCAGACTGGATCTGAAGGTAAGTATCTGACTCAAAACAATTCTTCCCTTAATTTCTTCGACAAAGGGAAAAGCTCTTCTTTACTTATTACTTATTTGAAGCAACGGTAAGGTCCCAGAACTGTGTACTGCTAAGATGTGGGTGCGCTGGGCTTGGCACCTCTGAGATAAGGGCGGGGTGGGGGGACAGTGAGACTGCTGAGAGGCAGGGACTACTTTCCTTTTATTTTTCCCTTTGGGTTACACCTGCAATGCTCAGGGATTACTTCTGCTCTGCACTCAGGAATTACTCCTGGCAGTGTTTGGGGGACCATATTGGGTGTGGGTGACTGAACCTGAGTCGGTCATGTGCAAGGAAAATGCCCTACCCGCTGTGCTATTGCTCCAGCCCCATTACTCACCTTCTTGACTTCATACTTAATGGCCAACTTGACACGACTGAGAGAGACTTTATGCCTGTGCAGTTCCAGAGGTTCGGTGGATTCCAGGTCTCCGTTCAGAATAGCTTCCACCTCTTCTGAATCTCGGCACAGGTCCAGCACACCCACTACAAAGTCTTTGCACTGCATGGAGAGCTTCCGATAATCATTCTACAGGAAAAGAGGCAGGGTTTACAGTGAGGACAGCGGGTCAGGAGAGGGTTCTTCCAGGGGAACAGCAGCAGCCCCACCTGCATGTGGGCTCTAGAGTCAGACCAGGCTGTCCTTAGCCAGGCCCTCCTGTGACCTGTGGCCCAGGGCATGGCTCTGGAAGTGCTTACTTCAATGCCTCTGTTCCTTGTGCAGAAATGCCAGCTACATGCATATGCTGAAAAGCCTAAGCATCAAAAGGAGTTGTAGTTCTCTTGTAAAAATTAATCTGAAGTCAAATAGACCATTTTTGGAATAGTAATTTGCCTAAAATGGAAAGATTTCTAAAGCATTCTTTGGCCTAGAAGATTGGCACTTGACACTAAAGCATCGAGTTTGTTGTCCTTGCCTCACAGGAGATGACGCAGGTCTAGATCAGGTCTCTAGCACAACACCTGGGTGCTAGACCCCTATGAACAAATATGGAGCTCTTCTCAGCTGCCTCTCAGATGTGAGTTTGGGAACAACAGTTCTGTAGGGAGGGAGAGAGCTGGACAGAGACCTGCAGAGAGAAGGGGCTTTCCTGGGTTGTGTGAAGATCCTGCTACCAGAACCTGAGAAAGTGGAAGGAAAGGAATGAAACATAAATGAACTCTCATGGGCTGCAGAATATTGATGCCTAAGAGAGCAATTTCCAGGCTACTGGAACTAACACCTCGCTAAATATACCCTATGAGTCTTTAATTCCATTAGCATATTACATGGCACTTGGACCAGGAAGAGGCCTGGCCTAAACGAAGTTCCTTCTAGCCTCCTGGGTCCAGTTTAAAGCCAGTGACCAACTCGAGAGAAAGTGTCTCACTCCCAGGAACCCAGCCTCACTTCTATGACTTCCCCTAAACAAACCACTGAGAAAGTTAGATGCACAATAGTCTAATTTGGTACATCTGAGGCAAACAGAATCTCCCTTTCAACATAGCCTGAGGTTGTGAGATGTGTATACTAAATAAAATGTGGCACAGCAGAATTTCCAGGCTTCCAAAAGTCTCATTTTTTAAAAGGACATGAGTAATTAAAACTCTCCCCTTAAATAATTAATCTGATTCGATGGGCAAAAGCACATCATTGACTCAAATAAACAAGATGAGGAGACACTGTTTAAGGTTACCCAAACTATAATCATTTCCATTCCAGATATCAGAAATTCAGATAAAGAACAGGTGCAGTTAATCCTTTCCCCTCATTAGGGAACAGATAAAATAAATAAAAACTTCACCTTGGCTTTCGTTCAGGTTGGTACCATACAACTAATAAATAAAATGACCGGTTTGGTTCTTGTGCAGGATGTAAGTTAAATATCCATGAGCTTTCCATTCCTTGAAGACTAATGAAATATTTTACTATACCATCACGTAGAAGCACTAAATCCTGTTTACATACACAGTATGTAAATTGTGCTCCCTTCCGGTACATCTTTCAGATGAAACATGCACTTCAGTTCAGACTACTCTAGAACATTTGGGTGGTCTTTTCTCTGACGTAAAGAGGCTATTCTCTATGCTTGAAGAAAACTTAGTACCACTTCTGTAGTCATATTTAAATGATGACCTTTAAAATTTAAATAATGATTTAAATCATCACTTAAATGATGATCTTCAAACACTCTGGGTCTATAAATCGTCCGGTCTAACTGGTGATCTTCCAGCTGCACAAACAACTATGAATTCTACAACCATTTCAGCAGGTCCTGCAGGAAAACATCTGTCATCCAAGTTCAGAAACACTCATAGCTGAGATAACTGTGCTTTCTCTCATTGAACTCATGGGTCATTGTGTTTTCTGTGCTCAAGCAGCACAATGGGAGGGGGTTGAAGGCAGTGGGGAGAAAAGCACTTGACCCTCCTGGGCTGCAGAGGGAGCCACACCTCCTGGGCTGCTCGGCTCAGGCTCAGGCTGTCAATGATTTCCCTTAACTCAGTGCTGAGAAGTCTTCAGTGATTGCCTTATTCACAAAGTGGCTGGCTGGATGCTCTGCAGAGTACGGATGCAGTCCCAAGGTCTGCTCAAGCTGAAGAGGAAGCGGCTGAGTTCTGGGCCCCCGTGGGCATCCTACACCCCGAAGCTGCTACCTGACCCCACCCACTTTGTGGGAAGACTTCCCAATAGGCTCTGTGAGAATGTGTTTGGGCCAAGTCAGCACTGCAGGAGAGCTCAGGGCTCACACACAAATAAATTATTCTAAGGAAATTCTTCAACTGGGACCCCAAATACGCGGCAGGCAGGATTAGTGCCAAAGTGAATTTTTTCTGCGCTCATGGGCTCTTGAGAATTTATAAAAGATCTGCAGAATTTATAAATGAATCTGGAGCGATAGCACAGCGGTAGTGCGTTTGCCTTACACACAGCCAGCCCGGCTGAGCCGGGTTCAATTCCTCCGCCCCTCTCTGAGAACCCGGCAGGCTACCGAGAGTATCTGCCAAAGACAGTAACAACAAGTCTCAAAATGGAGATGTTACTGGGCCCGCTTGAGCAAATCAATGAACAACAGGAGGACAGTGGTTTTTTTGTTTGTTTGTTTGTTTTGCAGACAAAACTCAGAAGCTTATGTTAGAGTTTATCAGACAGTTCAAGTAGATGGTTCCAGGTCTCTCCCCAATGTTCAGACATCTCCTTTCACCTGTGTAAAGGACATCACTCATCCTATCCCCTGATACCCAGTCCAGTGTACAACATCTTAAGTCCTGTCCCTCACTGTCCGCTCACCTCCATTTGGGGACCACGGCTGGTCTGGTCCCGTCCCTACACCGTTCTCTATCCAGTGTATGCTGTCTTAGTCTGAAATCTTGTTGCAGGGCCCCTTTAGGGTGGTACCCTGGCAGTCGCCTGCTGTCCTGCTTTCCTTAGTCTCCAGCATCACCCATGTGTGGTCCTACATCTGGGCATAAGAACCCTGCCCGAGGCTGCCATCTGAATGGGCATAAGAACCTTGCATGGCCCTTCTCTCTGTCTGAGCCTAGGTCAGTGGGTGAAGAGCGTGAGAGAGACTGGTTAGGGGCTTCCTTTATCTGCTGTTATCTCCCACCTCCAGCGACCTCTTTATCTATTTTGACTGAAGACCTTTCTGGTGGCGGAGATTTAAAGTAATGGACTAAATTTCCTAGCTCACCTGCGCTCCATGCTTGCACTCCACTGTACCAGACTGCAGATGCTGTCCTCTCCTGGAAGTCTGTAGAGTCAGCTGGAGAATCTCTTTGCTATAAAATACCTCTTGCTTTTAGATTATTTCCCTTTTTCTCTTTCTGCCAGCCTCCTGTGCTATAAGTTAAAGTTGCTTTGCGTCTTTATAACTTATATTTATTTATTTATTTTTCTTTTTGGGTCACATCCGGCGATGCTCAGGGGTTACTCCTGGCTCTGTACTCAGGAATTACTCCTGGTGGTGCTCGGGGGACCATATGGGATGCTGGGAATCGAACCCGGGTCAGCCGTGTGCAAGGCAAACGCCCTACCTGCTATACTATCACTCCAGCCCCCTATAACTTATATTTATAGTTATTTTATGCCTAGTTTATTCCAAGGCCATAATATTTTGCTTCTTCTGTTTCTTCTATGGTATCTTTTTCTTCTGTGCAAATATGTCTTGTGGTTTAGAGAGAATTTTCTCTTTGTGAAGGATCTTCTCCACAAAACTGAGAGATCTGAGGCAGAGTCAATTTGACTGTGAGCCAAGAAAAACACACCAAAGGGTATGTTTTGGGGCATGGTTCACCTGGTTGTGCTCAATGATCAGGGAATCTACATCTAAACCCTTAAATTTAGCATTACCCTGCATTTTTTAAGTATATGCAGTCAGCATCCTTCTTGGGCCACTCAGCTTATGTCCAGCACCACTGTTTGACCTGGACACACCAGCTCTAGGACTGTGAAGAGGGAGAGGCACAGGCTGCTTCTGCAGAGTGAGATCTTTCAGGGCTGGGCAGCTTTGGGGGACATGCAGGTCCCGGATGCCACAGACAGTTTCACATGTGTTCTCAGATTGAACATGAAGCTTTGAACCTGCATGATTTTGTAGTATTTTCTGAGCCAAGCGAATAGCAAAGCATTTTGAGACCACCTAAGGTTACTTATGGAAAGAAGAGAAAGGCAACCACACGGAAGAAAAATGCTTCTTGGGATAGGGGTAGGGGCAAAGAATTACAAATTTTCATTTTGTGGTCTCACAGGCTTAATAGATTACTGACTTCTTTGCCACTGACATTTGGTCTTCTACCTGTAGTTCATCCTGTTCAATGTGCAGTTTCTCAAAACAGCTTCCTTCTGTCAACAGTGCTTTCAAACCCAAACATTTTTTAAATAACCTGTTACCAAGTCATCCTCCACTAACTCCTCCAAATCTCCAGTCTGAAACACTTGGCCTCCTGGGGAAATGGCCTTCCTCAGTGCCCACACCTGCCTCCTGCACACCTCACACAATGGCCGGCTCATCTTAGAGTTCTGTGACAGCAATTAGCGACTCAGGTCCAGATCTCAGAGGCAGCCGCAAATACTACAGGTGAGGGTGTCACCTCCTCTCCTCACGAGGGAACACTCACTGGTCCTTTTTCACTTCCAGGTGGTACTGTATGCCGAGACTCTGTGAACAGGAGCTGGATAGCACCGCAGAGTGGGCAAGGGGTCCTACTGCTGCTCTGCTCTCCCCACTGCCCAGTAAAGGGCCCAGCAAAACACTAGGGAAACACTGTCCATATGTTGAAAGCCCGAACAGATGGACATGAGGTAAGAGGGCTCCGGTGAAAGGAAGGCTCAGAACATGGAAGAACCAGAACAGCCAGAGGGAGAAGCAAAGGGTTGCTCTGAATCATGGAGAGGGTCTGGATGGGGCTTGAGAGGGCCGGCCCTGGCCATGTCAGCAGCAACTACTTCCGTGCTGGCCATGGGTCCCACGAAGGGTCCCCCAAGATTTTTTCTCTGCATGCCTTTAGGTATTTGGATGTTTTATGTTTGCAATCTTAAAGCAACTACTTTCTTGGAATTTTTTGTCTTATGGTATCTCCCCACTTTTGAAACTTATTACAGGTTAAGTTGGGGAGAGGGAGTCGCTGGAAGCATTCTGGGTAGGATTTGCCAGCTTCCATGGGGAGTCCCATAGCAAGGACTCGCCATTAAGCCTTCTGCCTCACTGTTTTTAAGAGAGGAATAAAGATGATCTTGGAATCGCTCCCACTGGTGGAATCTCTTTCACAGATGTCTGTTGTTTATCAAGTAAGAATTCATAGAAATAAAGTTTGAATGCACTTTAAATAGGGGCAAATAAACAAATTTACAATTATATGCTATTACTATGTCAAAATAAAAAAGTAAATTTAGATCTATTTTGTTTGGATGTTTTTCTATATTCTCTAAACAGAACTAGAAGTATACGATTTGCTTTGAGTTTGTCTAAAAACTAGTTCATTTGGGGATCCAAGGAAATAAGCCTTTTCAAACATCACAAGATGAACTTCTTTAAAGGGAGTAAAAATAAAGGGCTGTTTATTTTCTTTTATAAATTGGCCCCAATTTTCTGAAAAATTGAGATAAACGTGGAGTTTCTGTGTCAGAAAAGTGTGTCTTGGAAGAACAACTACAAGTATACCAAGACCAGACATCCACCAGGCCAAGGTGAGGGTTATGGGTATGGAGGGGATTTGTTGTGTTGGAAATCCCAGAATCCTAGTTTTCATGTGATCTCTTCACCCCAATCACACTGCTGATTGCAGCTGTTAAATGTCACAACAGTGTTTAAACTCGTAAGACCTGAAAGACAGTCTAATCACTTTCTACGATCTGAAATGACAACTATGCTAAAATGGTGATAAACTGGTTACCAGACAGCAGCAACATGTGCACTACCTCGTACTTGTGGCTCGTGAATTATTCAAGGAACTAATGTTCCCAGCCAACTTCTCAGGTAGAGAACAAGGACAAGAGCTAGCTCAAAGAGTCTGACAGGTTTTGATCAGAACCAGGAACTCCCCCTATGCCACAGACTTGACGGACTCATCCAAAACATGGAAAAGGACGTGGCAACTGAATAAAAAAAAAGTGTTCATGATTAATGAATCAATTTTCCTGGTCATGATGTCCAAAAAAGAAAGATGACACATTAATAATACCCATTAAAGATGACACATTAATAATGCCCATCAAAAATGATTATCTTCATACTGTCCTTGACTTTGGGATGGGCCTGGTCTGCGGCTTATCACTGTTACACACAACGGCCATGCGAACGGAATGACTGATGCCCGCACATTTTGTGTTCCCTTTGACTTTTCACAACGAGGGATGCAAAGGGAGCCTTCCAAAAGGACACTGCTACGCGAGGCATCACCGTAAACGTAAGAAAGGGGAGAACCTGGAAGGGAGAAGGTGTAATTGCTACTCCCAACTGTTGAGGTTTTGTTCTTGACTAACAATGTGAAACAGGATGGGCAGAGCAAGACCAGAATGGGCAGAGAGTAAGATGAGAATGGGGGAGAGTAAGATGAGAATGGGGGCCCCCTTCCTTGGCCTCCCCGGCGGTGTGCAGGGGCTACTGCTGGCCCGGAGGGCGGGGGCGCGGCGGGGCCCACCTTGAACTCCTTCTCGATGTTGGCCAGCTTGGCCAGCTCGTTGCTGAGCTCCAGGGCGGTGAGCACGGGGTCCTCGCTGGACAGGGACAGGTAGGCCGGGCTGGCCAGCCCCTTGTAGGCGTTGATCCGGGAGCGCGAGTGGCTGAAGGCGTCCAGGCGCTGGCGGTCGGCGCACTCGGCGCACTTGCAGAAGTAGTCGTGCGGGCGCTCGATGCGCGCGCCGCGCAGCAGCAGCATGTGCACCACCTCGTACTTGTGGCAGTGCGCCGCCAGGATGATGGGCGTGATGTCGGGCGAGAAGCGCGTGCCGTCCTCGTCGTAGGCGTAGAAGTCGTCGTCCTGCAGCTCCTGCTCGCAGGGGCTCAGGGTCAGGCGGCCGCTGGCGGCGAAGCCGGGGTGGTTGAGGATGGCCTCCACGATGCGCACGTAGCCCTTGCTGATGGCCAGCAGCAGCGCGTCGCCGATGCGCGCCAGGTTCTCCTTCTTGAGCAGCAGCTCGGTGACCTCCAGGTGCTCGTTGCCCACGGCCAGCTGCAGCGCGTTCTGGCCCATGTAGTCCACGCAGTTGACGTTGAGCGAGTGCGAGTCCTCCAGCATCTTGCGCACCACCGGGATGTTGCCGTACTCGGCCGCGTCCAGAAAACGCTCCTCCTCGGCCGTGAGGCTCGTGCCGCGCTCGTGAAACATAAAGGCGGGACCCCGCACGGCCTGGCGCCGGCCCTTCTCGCGCGGGAGCGCCGAGCGCCGCTGGGCTGGGCTTCCCTCCATGGACCTGCACACAGAGACAGGCTTCGTGGGTCCCTCCTGGCAGAGCCACCACCTGCCCCGGCCCTAAAGCTGCAGGGAACCCTGTCCCGGGACGCCCACTGGGCCCCACTGGCCCTGGGGCTGCAGGGACCCCTGTCCCGGGACACCCGTCGGCCCCGACCCTGGAGCTGCATGGACCCCTGCCCCGGGACACCCGCTGGCCCCCGCAGGCCCTGGAGCTGGACCTCAGTGCAAACTGCCTCTTATACGTCTCAAAAACCTGGGGAGGGGAAGCTGGCAGCACCTGGCCCAAAGCACTAGGCTTGAAACCTAAATAACGTGAATTTGTTCAAGAATTAGGCGGGATTAGAACCTCTCCAGTCACTGAATTAACTAAACAAAATCAGTTGTTTTTTTTATGTTTTTGTTTTTTAAAAAAGACCCAGCATTTTAGGCCAAGTACCATCATCTTTCTGGATCTTGGGTTTTCGATCTTTTCCTCTTAAAGTTCCCTGGGTTCCCTGACACCACTGTCCACGCCTCTCCCCTATACCACACTCACAAAACCAACCAAACAACACAACTCAAGATCTGAGGCTTCAGGAATACAGATAAGATTTAGCAACCACGAAGTACGAGCTTCAATTTGGATTTATTTCAAGACAAACTGTGCCAGTATAATTTAACTTTTAATAAAATCATAAAGGTTTTTTGTGTGTTCAAAAAGTAGGGTGCACCACCAGCAGTCGGTGGCCTTGAGCCAGCTTCCCTACCCAGGCTGGCAGCCAGGGCGGGAGGCATGAAGAAGGGAGCAGGGTCGCCATCTGGGTGGTGACCAGCTGCTATTTATTCCAACATCCATCTCCATACCAGACTCAGACTCCACTTATCCAGGTCTCCCACTCCCCACGCAGTTTCACCCTCTCCATCCAGTTTCACTCTCCCCCACTCTCATCTTACTCTCTGCCCCATTCTGGTCTTGCTCTGCCCATCCTGTTTCACATTGTTAGTTAAGAGCAAAACCTCAACAGTTGGGAGTAGCAATTAAACATAGGTGAGGTGCTGACCAAGCAAGTGGAAACAAACATAAACAAGTGGGACTACATCAAACTAAGAAGTTTCTGCACTTCAAGAGAAACAGTGACTAAAATACAGAGAGAGCCCACAGAATGGGAAAGAATACTTACCCAATATCCTTCTAACAGGGATTAATATCCAGAATACACAAGAGAATAGTAGAATTGGGCTGGAGCGATAGCACAGTGGTAGGGCATTTGCCTTGCACACAGCCAGCCCAGCCGGGCCGGGTTCGATTCCTCCTCCCCTCTCGGACAGCCCGGCAAGCTACCAAGAGTATCTCGCCCACACGGCAAAGCCTGGCAAGCTACCCGTGACATATTCGATATGCCAAACACAGTAACAACAAAGTCTCACAATGGAGACGTTACTGGGCCCGCTCGAGAAAATCAATGAACAACGGGAGGACAGTGACAGTGACAGTAGAATTGTACAAGAAAAAAACCTCCAATCCCATCAAAAGTTGGGGAGAAGAAATTAACAGAAGCTTCCTCAAAAAAGAAATACAAATGGCCAAAAAGCACATGAAAAAAATGCTCCACATCACTAATCATCAGGGAGATGCAGATCAAAACAACAATGAGATATCATCTCACACCACAGAGACTGGTACACATTCAAAAGAACAAAAGCAACCAGTGCTGGTGTGGATGTGGGGAAAAAGGGATGCTCTTTCACTGTTGGTGGGAATGCCCACTGGTCCAGCCCTTCTGGAAAACAATTTAGACATTCCTTCAAAAACTAGAAATTGAGCTTCCATATAATCCTGCAATACCACTTTTGGGAATATATCCTGAGGATGCAAAAAAGCATAGTAGAAATGACATCTATACCTTTATGTTCACTGCAGCACTGCTCACAATAGCCAGAATCTGGAAGTAACTCAAGTTTCCGAGAACAGACGACTGGTTAAAGAAACTTTGGTAAATCTACACAATGGAATACTATGCAGATGTTAGGAGAGATAAAGTCATGAAATTTGCTCACAAGTGGATAGATATGGAAATTTTCAGGCTAAGTGAAATGAGTCAGAAAGAGAGGGACAGATATAGAAGGACTGCACTCATTTGTGGAGTACAAAATAACTTAACATGAGACTGACACCCAAGGACAGTAGGCACAAGGGCCAGGAATATTGCTCCATAGTTGGAAGCCTGCCTCATGAGTAGTGGGGGGAGGGAGGCAGCTGGAATGCAGAAGGGATCACTAAGAAAATGATGGTTGGAAGGATTGGTTGGGATGGGAGATGTGTGCTGAAAGTAGATAAAGGACCAGCAGTGATGGTCTCTTGGTATCTGTGTTGCAAATCATAATGCCAACAAAGTAGAGAGAAAGTATGGGAAAAATTGTCTGCCAGGGAGGCAAGGGGAGGGTGGGAAAGGAGGAATATACTGGGGAGATTGGTGGTGGGGAATGTGCACTGGTGCAGGGATGGGTGTTTGAACATTGTATGATTGAAACTCAAACATGAAAGCTTGTAACTATCTCACGGTGGTTCAATAAAATAAAATAAAATAAAGTAGGTGAGGTAGCACAATTAACATATGAAAAACCCGTCCTTCCAGGGAAGCTCTTCTAGAACAAAATCCCATCCAGATAGGAGATCCACCCAAGGGCAAAATTTCATCTAAGGGCATATTTCTCTTTTCCTTAGTCTAAATCTATTTAAATAGTCATCTTAAATTTACTTCTTAACATTTTTTCCAGTCATTTTGTATGGACACAGTAAGAGATGTATTAAACTTAAAGGGCGGCTCTCCTTAGGACATCTCACTATATACCCCAGACTATAGTCCTCAGGTCACATTAGTCTTTCCTAACCCCAGCAGGGTTCATTCAGTTGCTTCTTTTGGGGTCATGACAGAGTCTGTCCATGACTGTGCTCCTAACTAATTATAAGTTTTATGGCACTTGGCCTGTCCCTTTTTGATGCCAGGGTAGCTTACGGCGTGCCCTCCTTTTGGGGTGCTAGGAACTAAAGGCAACTGAGGCCTAAGTAGGGTGAATATGGCAGATGCCCAAGAGTAAATATTATTAGGAGTCAACCAACTCAAGATACAAAAGCATAGCCTTAACTGTCTTCCACTATGTATACAAAAAAGACATTGCTCTAAAGTAAGCTATGCAAAAAACAAAGGAAAGAGAAAAGCACTATTTCACTTCCATATATAAAATCCAGAGTCCTTAGAAGAATGGACCTTACAAATCACAGGGTTAGAGTAGGGGAAATGAGCGATTAACTGATAGGGGAAGCAGAACACAAAGGAGAAGTTAAAGCCTAACAGGAATGCTTTGGGAGCACTGTGGTGCATATTTCTCAGTAAACTTAAGCCCCCTGTGGAGGAAAAAGGACTGACCAATGCTATCCAACAGTTTTCCTTCTTGGTTTTTTGATGCTTGTGGGGGAACACTCAGCAGTGTTTAGGTCTTATTCCTGGCTCTGTGCTCAGGGATCACTTCTGGTGGGGCTCAGAATTATATAGGCAAGTAGGTTAGGAAAGGGCCTCCCATATCATGGCAATGAAATTTCTGGAAAGAAATAAAGCCACCAGTCCTAAATTTGACCCATCATGTGGATACAGAAAGCAAGACCTGATAAGACCTTCTCCAGCATCAGACCCTGAGAAGACTAGACTCCTCCCTATAGAAAGGGCCTGAAGGAAATGACTCGAGAAGCCTCAATTCCTTCCTTTGATCTGATTAACTCTCAGCTAGCCCAGGCCAGAGAGGGCTGGACTTATGTGCTGAGAGAAGATCCAGCAGGAACAAAGGCCAAGAAAAGGAGTTTCAGTGATTGCCACTCAATTCCTCTTTTGCAAACCACAGCACCCAAAAGGAGAGAGAGAGAACAAAAGGGAGTGCCCTGCCACAGAGGCAGGGTGGGATGGCGGGATGGAGGGTGGGAGGGATACTGGGACCCATGGTGGTGGAAAATGGGCACTGGTGAAGGGATGGGTACTCGATCATTGTATAACTGAAACCCAAGCACAAAAATTTGTAAGTCTACAACTGTACCTCATGGTGTTTCACTAATAAAAATTTTAAAAAAAAGAAAAGAAAAGGAGTTTCAAAGAAGACCACTCCCAACTCTACCCACTTAGCAACAACCCTAACAATGGACTCTTATCTAGCTAGAAAGTCCCACGTGGGGGCAGTTTGGAAAAACCCTATACAAGCCACCTTGAACAAAGGGAGGGCATGTATATGCTGCCCAAGCCCATGTGCTGCTTGTGCCCACGTGAACGAGCACATGTGGCACCAGAGCATATGTGGCGCCTTTATCTTCCCTCTTGAGGTGTGAACTTTCCTATCTAATGCTGGGATGTGTGTAGGGGCTCTCTCTGCCCCATGGAGAAGCCCACGTTCTCCCTTGAGTGCGTTGCTTTCACTCTTGGTTTCCCTCTCTCCTTGCCTCGAAAAAACCTCCAAATAAAATCTGTTCTACTTCACTGCTCAGCTGCTCCTGAAATTCTTTTCTGGGAGGCGAGATAGGAACCCGGTAACCTTGGGTAGGGTCTAGGACTGACTTTCCTTTTCTGCAAAGAGCAATTCCTTGTCCCAACCTGAGTCCATGGGTCCCCGAGAAATCAGGTGGCGGGGATCAACTCTTGTGCCTAGAAGACCAAGTGGACGTCAGGTGTGGCTTGACAGCCACCTGGTGAGGCTGGTAGGGCTTTGGCCTGTGCCAATCAGGGGCTTGGCGAAGACTTTATCCATCGTAGTCTTCCCAGCTGGGTCTTGGGGTGACAAAGGTGGATCAGGAGAAAGTGACGGTCTCTCTCCTCCCTGCCTCACACAAGCCACTCATCAGGCCCACCAATATCAAGAGGATCATATACGGTGCTAGGGATTGAACCTAGGTCAGGTGTGTGTGCAAGGCAAACATCCTAGCCACTGCACTATCTCTCCAGTCCTAAAGCTGCTTTTATGAACTGAAGGAATGTAGTG